GAGGAGAAGGGGGGTACGGGGCCAGATGTGGGATTCCGTCCCTGCTGTGCCCCCTTATCATTCTTGACGGGCTATTTGCTAGTATTTTCTGAAATTTGGGATTGAAATGTTGAAGCCAAGCATGAAATGGCTTTTTCAATTCCTGTAAACAGAGATGGGTCTTAGTCAGACACCCTGGAGAAATTCACATTCAGGGTGAATGCTGAGTGGGTGGTCCTCAGCACTCTGAAAGGCAGCCAGCCAAGCTGGTACAAGCTGAAACACAAGAAACCGGAAGAAAACCTTTAGTTGCTGAACAGTAGCTTAGAGAGTGGCGATGTAGGACACCAAATGTCATTCTTCCAAGTCATTCTAAAGCCCTGGTGCAGCTGGCACGTGTATGCATGTCCCGGGGGTTGGGGGCTGAGGTACTGTGTGTTGGCAAGAAGATTGAGAAATCTCTTCCTTATTTAGACTGTAATGCCAGCACTGCCAATTCAGCCTGATTGGGCTTCTCCAGTATCTTGCAACGGCACTTCAATGACTATTGCCATATTTGAGTGGCACAAAGCACCTTCACCATGCCCAGGAGCCAGCAGCACAAATACTGTACTGTACTGGGCCTTAAGGTATAATGCCCTAAACATCAAAAAGACCCTTTAACTTCCCATGGATAAAGCAAGGGGAGGAAGGCACTTTCAATGTCCTGCCACTGCAAGGACATGAAATTCTTTGGCTAGGTATGCTAAAGCGAGCCAAGAGGACCACAGCCCCTGCTATAAAGAAGGGTATTCCCCCGCCCCCCCCGACTTCTCTCCCCAGTCCATGCCATTTTATATCAATGAGCAAACACAGCATTAGGCATCTTCCAGCAAACGCCATCAGATTTTTGGTAGCTCTGCACAGCCTCCTACAAAGCCTGGTGGCACAGGACAAGGACTTAAGGCCCAGGCCAGCAAAGGATAGTGCCAAAATGGGGGCAGGGGAGCCAAGAGCAGTGCTGCTCCTTGGCACAGGCTGGCTGAGTTAGTCCCACCCTCCTCAGCGTGCTTCTTTAGGTGCCTATGCCTCCTGGCTTGAGGAGGGCAGGCGCCATTGCTCCCGCGTAGCGGGTCAAAGGAGGGCAGCGAAGTGAGTGCTCTTGCTCTGGCTGTCAAGTGGGTACAGCAGCATGTGCAAAGACATTGTTGTTTGATTGTTCCATATAACACTATGTAGTGAACCTAATTAATTGATAAATAACACTAACTACATAGAGAAGAGCGAATACTAACTTAATTACATATATGAATTTATCTTAGGCTCAAATTAAAGAACACCTGTTGTTGCTTTAATTAGTATCAACTTAAGACACCATTCTTTAATTAACTAGTATTTAATTAAAAACTCCATTCTTTAATTAATTAGTATTCAAAGACACCATTCTTTAATATTTAAGGCACTATTTTTTAATCTGTATTCTGTTGTCCCCATTAATCTATAGTATGCCTAAAAGACCCTAGCTCTATCATTTCTATCTTGAGCAGAAACTGAACTCCTATTACCTATTTACATAGGAGCCCAATATTTTAACCACTATGCTGCCAGTGGTTTTAGCTCCAAGATTTTCAGAATTAATACACCTCAATCTGTTGAAGCCACTTCTTTTAGTATTTGGTATTTAGCTCCCCACAGAGCTGCTGTAGCATGGTGGTTATAGTACTAACCTGCAGTGTTGGAGGCTGTTGGTTCTAGGCCTAGAAGTGGCATCTTGCTACTTTAAACACTAGCAACAGCTCCAAGTAGTCAACACCAGGACTAACTTGTGCCATGAGCTGCAGGCCGGTCTTTGCCTTTTGCAATACTGAGCAGTCCTGCTAATCCAGGTATGTCTCGGTAGAGGCTCCTTGCCTGGAACAGGCTGTCCATCTGGGCTCTAAGCAGGGGCTGGGAGGATGTGGGCTGCCAAGCACTCAATGCCCCATGCAAGGAGCCAGAGCCATCCTGCACAGACCTCCCCCCCACCCGGAGCTGGGAGATGAACTCTTACCTGTTCAGGCTCCCTTATGTCTCAGCCTGTGGGTGCCAATAGAGGGGAAGACTGACACCTTCCGCTTCCCTCTCATGTGCCATTCAGGGGCATTTATGTCAGTGTGCCACCCTTGGGAAGCTGGCAGGGGCTGGACAGGCCCAAAGGGTCCTGGACAGCCCAGAGGCAAGGGTTTCTCTCGAAGCACTGCAAGTGGCTATGGTGTAGGGGACATTGCCAAGGGCTCCAATTTTGCCTCGCTGCAGAACAACTGAGGAGTTCAATATATTTAGGCAATGGTGCTTCCCCACCAACCAGCCTGGGCATCCTATCTCTCCAGCACTGATGCAGCACCAGATCACTCCCTTAAGGAAAGCCCCTCATCTCTAATAGCCAAGAGGCCATTCTTGACCTGGCCTTGATAAGGAAAAATTGCTATTTAATGGCTCAAGAGACCTGGGGAGAAAGTGCCCTTGTACTCTTAAATTCTCTAGGCCCTTGGTAAAGTTATAAAACCAACAGTTTTGTACTCTTAAATTCTCTAGGCCCTTGGTAAAGTTATAAAACCTACACTCTGAATGCTGTGCACTGAGGTAGCATGGGAGTACAGCAGGGGTAGAGCTGGCACAAGGCAGACACAGGACCTCCCCAGCTGTGGCACAGGTCATGGGTGACTGCCTTGTGTACCAATCGGTTTCCAGAGGAGCTGGAGAGTTAGACCCTGCAACTGCATCACTCCTCACCTGTCGACTCCCATCCTCCTTGGAAAAGCCTGGCTCTCCTATGAACTAACTGAAGTAGTATGACAGCTCTAAGGCCTCTGAGCCAGCTTCCGGTGGCATCACACAAAGATAGTTTGAGGAAGTCTCCATGGAGGGTCAGCTCCCTCAACTCTCCAAGAGCAGTGTATGCACTGGCAACTGGTCTCGCATGTGCCATGCTAGTGCCAGGGCAGTAATGGGCCCTGATGGACAAGGTAGGGAATGATGACAAAGACCACTCAACATTTGCACTCTTGGACTTCAGTTTCCCTGTGTGGTGCTGCACTGGGCCTGGGAGCCATGAGCTCCTGGCTCCTGCCTGTAGCAGAGAAAGGTGCGTGGCAAGGAGATATCGGGCTGATTTACTTCTGCCCAGGAACAGACCTGGGGGGGACATGCTGCCCTTCCAGCCCCACTTCATCTCTCTGCTCTATTGAGGGCAGCCATGACCTCCCCTGTGAGTGGCAAGGACCAACCTTCCCTTGAATTCAGTGGCAATTCACAAGCTCCCCACGGGTATTTTTCCTTCCTGCCATGAAGGCCCTTACTAAGGGTAAGTGAGACGTCATGCTGCTCCACGCTCCTCCTGGAATTGCTGTCATGACTGGAGATCAAGCAGCTCCCTGGAAAGCAGCATTCAAGTGGAATTCCTTAAAAATAGTATTACTGGCCTTCACGAGGCTGAACTGGGATTTGGAGCCTATGACTGAAGCTACCCCATGCGGTGGCCCCGTGCCTAACTTTCTTTGCAGCCCAACGGGCAGACCTCTGAGACAACACACTCCTGTATTTAGAGCTTTGTTTGACTCAGCAAGCAGAGGCAAGGATGGGCTCCATGTGCCCAGCACTCTGTACTCCTGCCTCACAGGCCTGTTTTGTGGGTTAGGTTTTGTGACTAAGCTTGACTTAAAAAATAAAAAAAAAACCCCAACAACCACAAAGACTCCAGCATAACAAACAGAAAGATAAAGTTAAGACAAGAACAGTTTTAAAACTTTTCCAAATTTTTTCTTCAACACCTCCAGTACCCCACATGTGTAATAAATATTAAAAAACTTCTTTACATGATAGAAAGTGTCAAATAAGTTATTTCCCAATAGCTTGTTTTCATCAAAGGCTGACAGCACTACAAGAGCTGGAAGAACCTTTTACACCCACATACACGCTAAGCCATAAAGAAACAAAAACAGTGATCGCATAAGGGGATGGTCTTTATTAGTGGAACTGTCTCCTTCACAGAATCCTTTTTTTGTTGGTGTGCGAAGCTGCTTTTTGATTTTCATCTGGCTGAATCTGTTAAGAAAAGACATAGTTATTTACTATGCTGCTGCAGCACTTATAACAGATCAAAGCCTTGATCCTGCAACAAGTTCGGCAAGATGGGCCTTAACTCCAGCACGGTGATACGCTGAACACAACTTTACTTCCTATGGGAGTAAAGATCTTTTTGCACAGTCAGACTGTAACTTGGACAAGAATGAATCAGTGCTGTACCTAGATAAGGATGAGTTTGAGAACTTGCTGGTGTTGAGGCTTACAGAGGAAGCATGCATGGAAGAGAACTGAAAGGGAAAAGCAATAGGAGATGTGAGAGGAAGGGTGGGGAAAGGTGACAGCAAGCATGTCATGGATCTCAGGAAGTTAAATCTAAACGTTCTTGGAAAAAATAAGTTCTGAAAGGAGAATGTCTAGAAACTGATGCTAGAAACCCTGCATTAGCAAAGGCCTGTTTGCAGAAGCTTTGCCCAGCAGGGCTATAATTTTTAAAAAGCCAATTAATAAGATGTACCCAATAAACTAGCACTGAATTAGAATCTTGGAGGCACAGAGCCAGATGATAAACTACTAGATTATGCCTTTCTGTTGAACATGAAATAATCAGTGAGGAAGAAGAAGATGCGTACTAAAAAATGGAAGGCACAAGGAGTGAGGATGGGGTTGAGCCACTTACCCAGTCATTAAATCCTAATTCTAACATAGAATTTAAACCTTTAATATTTAGTAATATTTATCTTAATAACTGGGTGTAACTATTCCCTTGCCAGTGAGAAATACAAACCAAACATAAATGATGGCAATGCTGCAAGCTATATTAACACAGCAATATAGATTTCCAGCAAACAGACTTACTAAAGCATAAGGATGTGTGCCACACAGCACTTAATGTAACTAAAGATTTTACTTACTTCTAGGTTTCCTCTAGCCTTCTTTAAAACATCATGGGTTAAAGCCACTGCAAAGACAAGCCACAGATTAGACAGAACAGTACTTAGCAGTTTTATTTCTTTCTATTTAATTAGACATGCTGTGTGCAAACATTAAATAAAAGACACCAAAATCTACAATAACAGATAACTTTAACAATCTTCCCATCACTCAGCCTATCAAAGCTAATAATCCACCATTATCCTCATGACTTCAACTTTTCACCTTATCCCAGAAGACTGCCATGCTTTCAAGATACAGTGCAGTACACCTACAGACTACTCCTATACCTTAACAGATGGAAAAACAGCTCCAGAAAGCTGAAAGGCTTGCTCGAGACTCAGGGCAAATCAGCGGCCGTGCCACAACTGGAACTCATAATTTTCTATTGCCCAAGCCCATGCTCAGTCCACAACGCTGTTCTACCTTTTACATACAAATATATAGACAACAAATATTCTTCCCATAACAAGGCCTAAAATACAGAGAGGCCTAACTCCACAACTGTATTTACATGGTTTATTATGTACTACCACAAATATGCATAGTTCTTTACATGACACGGACCCTCTTTCCCAAGGAAGTGAATGGAAGAATTTAAGGGGAATCGACAGTCTAACTAAAATCACAGGTAGCAATACAAGTTAGCCAGCTCTTCCAGCAGGATTGAACCAGTACTTCAAAATTGTAACAGCCTGCATACCCTCTAGAGAAATCATGCAAGTGGCTTATTCTTAAGGGTTCCAAGTTTTCTCGTTACGCCGACTAGTCGGCTTCTGTAGCAAGAGAACAAGACCCGAGAGCTAGGAGGGAAAGCATGAGGGAGGGGTCTATATAGAACTGATCTTTAGAAATGTCAAGTTAAACTGCGATTCTCTAATCTGTGTCAGCTCGGTAACAGCTGAAAAATAACGTTCACAAGTAGCAATTTAATATTCCAGTCTCAAAAAATAAACAATTTAGCCATAATAAACATTTTTCATTACAATAATAAGAACCCAACAATTCCAAGGGTATAGCTGTCATGAGATAATTATACCCCTAGCAGATTACAGCAATTTGGCACTGCATTGTTACATGTTTAGATGAGGTTTATCAGCACTGAGTTGTGTTGCCTTAAGAATGCGCAACAAAGATTGAGCCCAAGGAAAGTTCCTAGCTGTGTCTCTAAACGTATTTAGGAAGCTCAAGCAATAAGAATAATGGCCTATGTACCCCCTAGCGTAGCTGGCCAGCTCAAAGAAATTTGGACTGGAAGATGAGATGGAAAGTAAGGTCACCCACTCAATCCCTGTGGTTTGTTACAAGCAGAAAGGAGGGGGGGAATCCACAACAATAATAATAAAGGGAAGTATAAGCATGATGATACAATTTAACAGCTTCCTATGATTCACCTATCTTGTTGTATGCATGGTCAGGAATTTCTGTAGAGATGCAATTTAGAAACGTTTGTGAAATTGCTCTTAAAGGCAAAGGTAACCTGACATCCATAATTCCCATAATCAATGAAACTTACAGAAAATTGTATCTAGATCTTTTTGTGTAAGAGAGAGCTCTCTGTTCATAAAGCACTCTGTTAGTAAATTCATTTTACCTGACAAAACTACATTTTTCTAAATCAAAAATATTAAATTCAGTACATGGGCAGAATGTAGAGAATATGAAACTAATAGTGACTCTGCTACTAGCCAGGCAGCATTTTGTATCAGGAGACTTCAGAATATGCCAGCTTCATTTTATCAGGACCTAATTCAGAACAGTATGTGAGTTCCCTCTGCGTGTATATGTGGGAGAGGGGACTTAAGAGGGACAAGGAGGCAATTCTCTCAAAGGCAAATGCTTCACTGCTTTATAACCTGCACAAACCACTGAAATTGCCCTTTTAACCAGACAAAGTAGCTCTGATTTCAGAAAGGACTGAGCAACTGAACTTTAAAACTTGAACAAAACAGAAGCTTGGATTTAGCAGAATAAAAACCAACTTTAAAGTCGTTCGTTAAGATGATTCCGATTGGACAGGACTACAAACTGTATAAATGCTGAATTGCAGGCAAAACACAGGTAACCTTTTTTAAAATATATATTTTAGATTTTAGAATACAGAAACATCACCATGTGTTTCATTTCAATGACTTAAGTAACTTGTGGCATTTATGTAAGGCCATTTCAATGTACATTTAGCTTACATAATGGGTAACATTTAAAAATTCTAGATTAATTACTCATAAGAACATAAATGCCTTGCTGGAACAGGCCAGTGAGTCATCCAGTTCAGTCTTCAATGGAAGTTAATGTAAAGCATTTCAGAGGAAGGTGAACAAATCCTCCCACGGTGCACCAAAATGTGCAGTGCTACAGCACTTGGGAAAGGAAGGGAAGGGGAGTGCTTCATTCTTGAGCTGAATAAAGTAGGTCCTGAAAGGTTGCATTCGTCTCGTCTAGGACAGCTAGAAGATAAACATTTTCTAATTCATTTTATCAAATGGTTAAGGTGAAAACTGACTGCTTCCACTAAAATATAACTTGGGACAAGGCAGGTTCCTCACCAATCACGTCATGGGTAGATGACATTCAAATCCCTTTAATTTAAAAAAAATCCAGTGGAATTGGTTGTAAATGTATCATTTGGTAGCTGCACCAGATAAAAGCATTAGTGTGCACACCAAGGAGCTGCCATTTCCTTAAGCCGCCAATAGTTTCTCTGTCTCTCTCTCCTTGCCCTGTTGCCTCCATCTTTGCCAATCAGTAAGAGGTGCCAAAAGAGAAGCCACTAGTGCTGACCTCATCCTTTTGGAGTAAAGAGGCTTTGCGAACAAGAGGCAAGTTGTAGACACCCCACTATTTTCAAAAGGATGAGCAGAATGAGACCACTGGCTTTTCTTGCAGTCTAATTACTGCTGTTAACTGACAGAGGAAGGAAAGAAAAGTGGGAGGACAGCAGGGGACAGGAAGGAGGAGGAGGTTAACCACAAAAGAAAGGAAAAGAATAAGTAAGACTCAGGTAGTGTGTGCTGCGGCACGGCATTTGAAAGCTTCAAATAACGCACAAGCTAAGTGGTGCCGGATGAAGACTGTGCCTACTGGAAGTTGCCAGCTGGCTGCTGTGCAACGCTTCCAACACAGGCAGATTTCCTCAATGGCTGTTGCACTTGTGTAATAGTTACAGTTGCTCAGTTTTGTACTTGACAGCATTTATTTGTTATAACTGCAGAATACACACTGTGACCAATTTTCAGAAGCCACAGACAATTAAATCAGGTGACTTCATGTTTCTTGTAATGCTCTGGATATGGCTGTTATGCTGTGATATGAAATTTCGCTTGCCCCAGTTTTTCCTATCCAAGCAGCCATGTCTATTAGTAACCTTCCTTTGCCTATATGCTACTGAACCCCGTCAGTTCTTCTGCATTCTTCCAATTTGTTCCAGAGACTTGGCATATCGCCCTGTGATGCTCCTGCATAGTCAGTTATCACAGCTGTTGTGTGATATGTGTGTAGCAAACATGCATCAGGAACTCTAAATGCCTAATCTCAGGTTAAACTAGGATTGAGGCAAAATCACAGTTTTGAAAGGAGTAGTGGCAAAGTTCTGATATCTCCTGAAAAAAACACTTCTCCACAGTGAGCAACACTTGCAGGATAGGAAACTTGTATCAGACTGTAATAATATAAATGCAATAACTCAACAGATTAGTGAAGAAGGATCACTATAATACCAATGCAATTTCAAATTGTAGCACATGACCTGCATGCATCCCTTCATACTGCTTTTCTTTTTATCCGATGCAGAACACATAACCAAGCTTTATGCATTGGGGTGAATTTCTTCTTTGAACTAAGCTTCCAGCTTTATATTCCATATAGTTTGGGTTCTATGAAGTATTTAATAATAATTACTGAGAACGTTCCAAAGTGGCTACCAAGATAGTATTTTCCTTTCATTTCAGCTAGTTAGCCATTTGCTACAGGAAAGATGGAAACTCAGAAGCAAATAATAAATATTCACTAACATTGATCAATGATGACTTTCTCCATGTTCTCCTTCAGTTGGTTTGTAGAGTGCAAACGTTTCACCATACTGTGTAACTTCTTCTCCTGCTCAGACAGTTTCTTACGGAGTCTAAGTATTTCTGCTTTCATTCCTTCATCCTGAATTGAATTAAGAAAACACTACTTTAGAATCATTATATAAACTACAGTCGATATTAGTCAGTTGCCAAGCAGTTTAATACATGGGTGTCGAAGATGTGGCTCACAAGGCCAGATCCGGCCTGTGGAGTCCTAGGATCTGGCCTGTAAGGCTCAGACTGACTCCACGTGTCCCATGTAGCACATGCTGGCCCCAGCATGCAGCAGGTGAAGCCAACCTGGTGAGCGCTGCATGCAGCATGTGGGGCTGGACCCAGCACTGCAGGTACTGCATGTAACACAAGGAGCTGGTCCAGAATGCGCACTGCATACGGTGCCGGCACCAGACCAGTTGTGTGCTGGCTCCAGGGCTGGTCCAGATCAGACCCGCAAACTCACCCATGCAGAATCAGGGCCCAGGGCTGGTCAATGCAGCATGGACTCCATGCTAGCTCTGCACATAAGTCCCAGACCAGGGTCAGCATGTGCTGCATGAAGCCCTGGTCCAGGGGACATGATGCATGAGGTGCCTGTGCCAGACAAGCCCTGTGCCCTGGCTTCAGCATCTGAGGCCAGCCTGTGGGCCTGATCTGTCATGCAGATGGGTCCCATGCCCCTCATTCTGACCACAGGGTCAGATAAGTTTGATGCACTTGGGCTAATGCAACAGGCCTCAGACTTCCTCATAATGTTGACAACTTTTTAAGGGACTATCTCCCAATTTCAGTTGTACTGGCCACCTGCCTTTTGATTACAAAATATCCCAGAAGCAGCTACAGCAGTTACATACATGGAAACTAACACTATGAAGTATTGGTGTATTTTTAGTCATCTATTTTTTTATTTAATCTACCCATCCTATAATTTCTTTTCTTCTCAACTGGAAATCATAAGGACAGCCATTACCCTGGGGCCCAAAAGTGCTCAAGGACTACAAGCAGTCCACAGACCACAGCTTCAGAACTTCTGTATAACTATGTTCCTTTACAGGTAGTGTCCTTTAAATCAGAGAATCTGGAAGGGACAGGGCAGTTTTATTGCAATCTGTTTAAAATCTGTTCTCTTTAGGTAAATGTTTTATTTCAACAAACAATGCCCCAAATGTAATTACTATGTAACACTACTGATCAGAAGACGTATGGGAGCCTGTACCTTTTGCGAATGCTCGCAATACACACTGATTACCTATACATAGGTGTCTATGTAGAAAAACAGCATTTAAACTCATTTAAAAACAGCACCAGCTCACAGCTTTCTCTAAGTACAGGATCACAACACAAGTGATTTCTGCTGGGGAGCAGAGTTAATACCTTTCATTCATTTACAGATACATTTTAGCAAAAGAATATTTTAACAAAAGAATATTATTAAAATGGTATATAAAATGTCCTTTTACCATCCAACACATTTTAATTTTAGTAATATTGTTTCCCTGAAAAACACACAAAAATACCTCAATAGCAAAAAAAAAAAAAAAGATGTAGATTTATTCTAAAGCCACAGTTTTAAACAACTCATTGTTGAGTGGTGGTAGGATGACAGTATAGGTAATTCATTCTTCATTCTGTTTATATCAGTTCATTTGCATAGTGCAATGCATTTTTAGTTAAAATGTTATAAAACTCGTCTTGGGTTTCTGTTGCTCTTTTAAAAGATATCTCATTTCATAGCTAAGGTGTCAAAGCAGTGAAGGTGAAATGTAGTCCCGTGACTATATGAAAGCCATGAGACAAGCTGCTGGTTGCCAACAGACAATAAGACTTTTTTTTTATTACTGTTTTAGACGCAATCAGACTGACCATGTTTGTATAATGAAAAGTCCAAACACGAACTAGTTGAAGTCTACATTGAGTACTTGCCTAGATCTCAGAGATATTATGGAATACATTATAGCTTGTATCTTTAATACACAGATGAACCCCTGGTTACTAGAGGGCCCAGCATGCAGTGATAGTGACTGAGACAGCAGACTGCCTCACATTTGGTCTTTTTGTGGTCTTGGTCTTCAGGGACTAAAGCCATCTAAAAGTGAAGGTAGCTACGGCCTAAAGTTTGCCCATTTTGGTTCACAACCTTCAAAAGACTGAGATAGCCAACAAAAGAATGTGCAGGGCAAGTGTTTGTTTCAGAACACACCTTTAAACTTTTCACTGCTTTCAACTCCACCCCCCAAAAACCTAGTACCTGACTGTAGTGAGCAGTACTGTGGACAACTTTCATGGGAAGAGAAACTCTCCAGAGAAGCTTCAATAAACGTGCAGCCTCTTCTAAAATCTGCTGTACCGTGTGAATATTTGCAGAAAAGCTATTCAGTGATGTCTGGGCTGGAACCTATATTGCAAGATCAGAAAACATGTTATATTTTATCTGAAAGACAGTATGAAAAAGTAAGCCTTAATTAACATTATAAATTTCCTTGATAAGAATTTCATGTTTAATACAATGAACTAGGCTAGTGTGTGCCAGGAAAAACTAATTTATTAGTTTAGAAAACCTGCTGAATTATACATTATTCAAGAAACTTGGGGTTGGGGGATTATCCTAATCAATAACAGTGATTAATAATGGGTTACATTTACTGTACCTGCTATGCCACATGGAAATACTTGGCAACTCTCTTCTTTCTCCATTTGCATTTCATGGCATGCTATTTGAAAGTCAAATGACTCCAGACATCAATTTAAGCAATATAGATGTTTCTTCCTTAGCAGACCCCTTAAACTGTTCCATTTAATGCTAAAATAACTATCAGGGCACATATAAAATGTTTTCCTCTGCTGACAGATGAGAAAACCAAATTGAAGAAATTGCATAAATGTGAAATAAAGGAGAGAAAGAAAGGAAAGAATGCATAGGGAGCAAATGAATTACCAAAGTGATGGTGATGGTGGGGGAGTGGGAGAAAAGCATTTGCTCTGCCTGCCCCAATTCAACATGCCATCTGAATGCTTATTTAGCATTGTTATCTAACAAGAAGCCTCTCATCATGTGAAATACCCCTTTTGCTAAGTAGTTTGAAACTACAGGAATGTAAAGCTTGGTAGTAGACTACAAATTGTGAAATGTATTGCTTTTATCTTTACACCAACAAAACAAGTTATAATCTTGCTGGGAGATTACTTCTTCAATCATCACTAGTATCTTAACTAGGTCATCTGAAAATGGAAGCTACTTCAGAGAGCCTGGAGTATCAGGAAGGCATCACTGTCACAAAACAATGCTGTTTCCCTCCCCACCCCCAAGAATTGCTATGGGGGCTCCATATTCAATAGCTTTGCCAATTATAAAACAGGTAAAGAGTAGCACTGTAAATTTTAAAATGCAATTATCTTCTCCTATTTTTAAAGACCAACGGAGATTTTTCTATAACTTTTATAGTATAATGATCTCACCTCCTCCACCCCCCACAAAAATACTGCCAGACTACTGACTGTATCCAGTAATTGGTATGAACTGGGTGGAAGATTCTGCATAGAAAGACTACCTGCTGCTATCCAGTATATATATTATCTTATTTCCCATTGTTCCCCTTGCTCGTGTCACTTGCAAAAATATATATGGAGAACACGAGGAAGGAGAACAATAGGAAATAAGATACTGTTTCTTTAAATAAATGTCTTTAAAATGAATATAAACTGGGACAGGCACCACTACTACACATCAATCATAACTGTGTGGCTTTTGCCTGGTGTTTCTGTAAGACAGGACAAAAGTTAATGGGATGCTTTAGTTGTGCATTTCCTTTCCCCTAGCAGGCCTGGATTTTTCAAGGTGAACTTCAGCTTAATTTTCTGAGTTTATCCCAAAACAAGCATTACAATTACAGAATACCTTATTTTACAGAGAGGCATTACTGATATATAATTTCTCCCTCTTTTAATTATGACATCTTTAAGTTTCCAAAATTCTAGTCACAAATTCCCCTAATAAAAGCAGTTTCCCTCAGTTAAAGTCATGAATAAAAATGAGACTGTGCATTCTAGGACTAGCATTAGTTGATTTGCCCACATCGTATTAACTAGCTGTGCTCAGAAAAGCCCCAGCTTGTCAAGGCTGAGGTACTTCGGCAAAGTCACACCATTTCCTTGTTCCCTTGTTTATCTAAACCAGGGGTTGTCAACCTTTTTTAATAGGTGTACCCCCAGTGGCTGGACACAGAATGGGGCAGGGGTGGGGGTGCTGGTGCACAGCTGGATGGGGAGTGGTGGCAACGTGGGGTGGTGGGTGGCAGCCGCTGCACTCAGCTTCTCCACCCCCTGCCCTGCCCCTGGCCGGCCAGCCAGCCAGCGCCTGCATGGCCCGCAGAGGGGCGCCACTGCCCTAGCCCTTCCACCAGCCCTGCTCCTGGGAGGCGGCGGCGTGGGGTGGTGGCACTCCGTCCCCGCCCACGCGTAACCCTTAGGGCCTTCCCACATACCCCCGGTTGACAACCCCTCATCTAAACCATACATATTAAGAAGATTCATTGCCCTCTAACCATTCTCACTGCTTACCTTTACTCCAGGCTCCACATGTTTCATACTAGTGATCTCTATCAAAGGACCCTCCATTTCTGATAGCAGCTTTTGCCCTTCTGAGATCTGCTTCCGTAGGGCATTGTAATCCTCAATCAAGCCAAGGATATGGCGTCCATTTTTGTCTGCCCACATACGATGGCCAGGCACAAGGCGGGGAGTGCATGACGTACCAGTAGAGGAGATGCTGCTGCACTGTGAAGAGTTGTCTACATCTTCCTTACATGTTAGTTGGGTGTCTAAGGTAGAAAAAGTTGCACTTGATTTTTAAAGCCAGATCCTTTCAACGTGTAAAAAAATAACATACACATACGTATCTCAAACAGCAACCCTAGGATATGGGCGTTAAAACATTCTTGTCCTTAGATATACCTGCTTTCATTGATGTGTAATGTCCATGCTTCTGTAACTCGCATATATTATTGTCTGCTGCAGGGAATGTCTGACCAACTTCTACATGCCCAAAACAGAAGAAAAAAACCCAACTAATCAGTAAGATGGCATCATACTATTTATTTTTTTTTTTTTTTTACTGAAAGATCTCCCTGACCTTACTTCTGCATGTCTTCGCTTCACAGATTTCACAGTATAGCAACAAAGGGACTCCCTATAAATCAGGGCCAGCTCTCTGGAAGCCAGGTATTCCTACACTTTTCTAGTACATAGCCATAATTCTGAGTACCTACCAAATCTATTCACCGCTGGAAAAAATCTCCTTGAAAGCTAACAAATTTAGGTCTTAGCACACCAAGGAGCCTTCAGAGCATTACATGTCCATAACCAAGCAACCTAATCCCTCCCCACTCCCACCCTTCCAATCTCAACAGCTCTGGCAGTATGTCAGCAGGAAGGAAATGGTGTATCAAGTAATCAGGTCCTTTACCATTTGGGGTAGTATAGATCAAGACCAGCACCTACATTCCACCCAGAAACCTACAGGAGCCAACACAATGCTTGGAGTGTCAATATTATATGCTCCTCACGTAAGACCCAATATTGCCCAAATAAACCAGCTTACACTTCTAACTGTCCCCAAGTCGGCGCTGCAAAATGTAGAATATATTATGGTAATCTAGTCATGGGGTAATGAATGCATGGAAAAAAACAGCAACCCAAACAGCGTATAGACCATGGTATGATTCTGCTGCATTCAGGCACTTCCTTCTCCATCAAGTGGAACAGAATTTGCACTGTTTGAGTAAATATCTTATATAAAACACAAGTCAAGTTGTGGTAGATGGGTCCACATGGGGGAAGGAGGAATGAAGCTCCCATTGTGGTATATTGTGCTTCAAGGCCTCCACAACAACCCACTGATCAGCACAGGCTATTTGATATGATGTGCCAGGGCATTTATGTGGGCCCAGGGAGAAGAAATGTGGATTCATGGCCCCTTGATTTGCTAGTGATTTAATAATGATGCAAATAAAGATATTTCTGAACAGCATAAAGGGGGCAAGTGATCTATACAAAGATCACCCAGTGCACTTACTGATTGTTCTTGAGTAATGCAGTCACCTCTAACAAATGTCCTATAGTTGAGCATTAAATTGAGAACTTCCAGGTAAGCAAAATTTATGACAACTTAACCTGGCCATCTTTCCATTCCAACTGTCTGCAAACCTTTTGCTCAGATCAAAAGGAAATCACAGTTAGAGGCTCTGAGAAAGTGTGGCGTGCATTTCACCTCCGCATGAACTAATAACTCTAATAGGGAAGGGATTTGAAAGGCTGCAGGCAGCTCCCAATCACACAGCTGATATCATGTGTGGCATCAGGAAAAAGGGAGGCATCTTTAAAGAACAGGGCACCACTTTTTGGAGTGTTATAAAAGCACATACTGCACACTACCATTCATTCCTGTACAATGCTGCGATTCGTGTTTGAACAGGTAGTTGATATTCACAGCTGACACTGAGCCCACTTCCTCTCTCTTTTCTTTTGAAAGCTGCTCCTCTAATTTTTCATGCAAAGTCTTGTTCGTCTCTATGCTTCTTTCAAGCTGCACTCGCAAACTCTGTATTTCAGTCAATAGTTCATGTAAGTCAAGTGGATTATTTTGATCTTTTCGGAATTCTTCTGAAGCATCATGTCCAGGATCTGAGAAAAACACTTAACATCTTTAACAATTAAAATAATGTTAACCATTATAAGAATGCTGAACAAGTAAATTATAGCCAGCTTTATCCTCAATATTAAGAATTAACTACAAACAGTATTAAGATAATGGGTTGACAAAAAAAGCAAGTCTTAATTGCGTCTACCCTCAAAAGATTTAAAGAGCTGAAAATTATTTTTCACTTCGTCCATAAAAGCTAATAAGTTGCATGCCAAAAACAAAATTATAAGAGAGTAGAATGAAAAGGATTTACAAAATCTGAAGTGCACAGTCTAGGGGAAGAAAAAGAAGCAGGTAATCTTGGAGAGAGGACAAGGGCTGGAGTACTACAGAAAGTATAATTTCACAAGGCAAAAAGAGAACTGTGATCACCTGGCAACTAGAGAAACCAACCTGAGAAAACCTGAGGGTTCAGTTCTTCCTTTCATAAGGGGAAGCAGTACACAAAGCACTCCCTGTATTCCTGCACAATGAGATCCCAAAGTGTTCTTCAAGCAGTGGGAAAGGGCTTGCAATGGCCTGAGAAGGCAATTACTCTGACCCTTCAATTATGTGGAGACTTCACGTTCTGCAAGGAGATTCAGCTCTATCCCAAATCCGCCCCCTCCATATTTCTTCTATCGCTTGGTCACATCAAGACTTTTAACACAATGATGATGGCGACAGATAATGTAGTAAGAATCAGCAGTTTTTTGCTAGGAAATGTTCTGGATTTTGAAGGAAGCATGCAATAAAGACTGACTGTTATCCAGCTTTACCTATCTCTCCCCACCCTACCTGTGTTGTGGTCATTCTGTCTGGTTTCTCTCAAACTCCTGAGAAATGGAGAAAACCCTCGTGTAAGTTTTACTTCCCCCCCCCATCCACAAGGAGACCAGAGTTTAGGTATATAAAACATTTCAAGGGGCTACTTCTGGCAGCTCTCTAACACCATGCAGGAGGTGTTAGCATGTAGGAGCTCTCTCTTGACAGCTACTCTGCATTCAGGAAGGGTGGCTTCAGCATAAGGAGGCACACTGCAGCTAGCTTAGGGAACACAAACAGTGAAAATGTGGTAGCCCATTTTCTGGTGCCCAAATAACTAAGACTCCCAGCAGGCTGGTACGGCCTGTACTGCAACACAGGACACTGCTTCTTCACTGATACTGTTACCTAAGCTACCTAGATTAAAGCTTCCTTAAGGATGGCCTACTCAGGCTGCAATTGCATCCTTCATTTGCTGTGTAGCCATACCTCTACTTTTATTTATTTAGCATATGCGGTTTCATCGTATTGTTTCAACCTTCTCAAGGCAATGTCATCACCAGTGTGAAGAACTTGAAGGCCACCAGGTAGAGTTGTAATTGGGCACAAGTCAACAATGTGGGACATGGTTTGAACTTGTCTATAAAGGCATTTGTTGTCATTGCGAAAGCCCCATTGGTATAGGTTTGAGGCACAGTGACCCTGTCCAGATCGAAAACAGTTGAGGAGTGCCCAATAATGGCATGACCAGCTAAATCCTGGTTGACTGACTGTAGGGTCAGAAATGATGTGGTGATTGATTGGTGCTTGTGCTGACCACACTAAGCTGACCTCTACTAAGAAGTAATTCTTCCTTTGCATCACTGCCCTCCTAGTTCCTGTGATAGTACTGGACATCTAAATAGAAGTAAGGAGCACTGACGCACTCTGACTCCTGCCTTAGGCAGCCTGACAAGGTCATAGATAGAGAAAAGAAGGTCTGCAGCAACAAAGAGTACAAAAACAATTGCCCACTTGATACCTGTCCTTCTTCTGCTGGCTTCCTCCAACTTTTCATACACTTTGAGTTCAATTCGGAGCGACTGCAGTAATTTGTCATTCTCACACAGCTGGTGCTGTTTTGAATTCAGTTCTGTTTGCAACCTGGTAAGTACCAATGGATGGGTAAATTACAGGTAGTGAATTCACTTATTCCGTACTTTAAAATCTCAAATCCCCCTTGCCTTCACCATGTTCTCTCTTCTTGAGGGTACCTATGCAGCTCATTAATGTCAATGGCCATGGCCAAACACTTGCATGTCATATTGACTATTTACTCCTCCAAGAGAAAGTCTAAACAGGGACAGGACTGATACCTGTTTAATTCATTGCGACTGCTGTAAACCTCATGAGTCAGATGTCTGTTTTCACCTTCCTTTTTGCTGATCTGTTTTTGCAGCCTTTCATTTTCTTCCTTCACACAGTCAAAATCCTTGTGGAGATGCTCAATGACTGCACTCTTCTTGGAGAGAGACTCCCTCAACTTTTCATTTTCCTTTTGTTTATCTGAAAGCAGAAGAAATGCAAGGTGTTTGCAATACCTACAACATACTTAGGCTATGCTGCTCATCATCAGCTTTCTAAGAGCTGGCAGAGCAATAACAGAAGTAAGATGCTCTTCTGCATTTTGTGATTGCCCTATTTAAATTTTTCTAAAGCCTTTTTGGTAGATAAGTTTCCTTGAATGCAATGCCTCTGTAACCCTCAAAACACAAAAGGCCCGTTTCTAGGGGAAGTTAAGCACTACCTGTCATATGTCAAACACCCTCAGCCTCCTGTTGAAATCAGTGGGAGAGGGACTACTTAGCTACTTCCAGTAAGGCTCCAAAGAAGGTATATTTATCTTGAGTACTCTTATTGAGTATTATACTGGTCTTGGAAGGAAGGACGAAAGGGCTTGAGTAAAGCTACTACATGCCCTATAACAACCCCTCCCCTCCATTCTCTCCACTAAAAAATGAAGCATGTTGTCTTTCCCTGTATTACCTGTCTGCCATCAGCACCATGCTAACTCATCCCTCTCCTTGACATGCTCTGCCTTCTCCAGGTTGGCTCCTTGATTAAGAATTGTCACTAGAAGCAGTTGCTCTCATCGAAAATCAGTGTTAGACAGGAAGGAGGAATCGTTCTGTCTCCCAAGAGTTAGAAACCCTTCCTTTTTAGCAAAACAGCCAAGTTGAAAGTTTATGAAAAAGGGTCCCAATCCAATGCATGGATCCTATTCCCTTTTGTCACAGGATTAGAATACTTCCCATTAAAGTCAATGGATATTTCATTGCAGCATGAGACTAAGAGGTCTAATCTTGTAGCCAGTGCCTACATTGGCATTTACTGGTCTAGTTAATGTTAAAACTATCGAATGGCACGTATTTTGACCTGAGCCATAAGCAAATTACAAACACACAATATCAATACAACATGGTGAAAACAAATATAGAGCCAGATCAAAATGAGCTGATTTCCACCATGGTATGTGGGGATAACCTTTCATACATGTATGTGGTGTGACTGAAACTTTTTGATCAGCACTGAAAATATAGTGTAATTACTTCACAGATGATTTAGAAAGTGACAATTTGACTTCATTTAACACTGTAGGAGGAGAGGAAAAGGCTGAGACTGACCAGATAAGCACTCAAGACCAAAGGCAGCCTTCCTTCTGTAGTCTGATTCTTAGGATAAAGAAGAGACCCATGAATTCAAAGGAGGCTGGCTCTGTCTTAAACATAAAAGGCAACAAATGCCTTGTTCTGATGGGCATCCTTTAGACATGCTTCTCACATAGCATGCCCTGACATTATATACATATTGCGCATGGCAACAGACCAAAACAAAAGCATCTTATGTTGGCCTAAAAAGTAAAACCTTGAATAAACTGATACACACCAAAAACCCCTATATCAGATGACAGAATAAATGACATGAGGGAAGTGCCTGTGTACTTCTGTTATACCAATAGTTCTAACACTGCTCTGCAAACAGACAGAACCTTATGACCTAAGGTTTAACCATAACTGCTTTTAAGAGCAGTTCGTTCAGAGGGGTCTGAATTAAGAGTATTTTGCTGCCTCGAGCACAAAGATGAGGCAGGCAAGCTAAAAAGTTGCAAAAGAAAAGTGATTGCTCCAGGTCCTTTCTCTGTGTCTAATCAGCTTAAAGAGGGAAACTGAGTAGAGCTATCCAAGCTTCCCTGTGCTCTAGATTCCTTTGGGGAATGAGTCTGTTTTCATGTGCAGTCAGCTCCCTCTGGGAAGAAGTCCATTCAGAAGGAAACTGAACAATTGCAGTCAATTTCCCTCGGTCAGTTTTAGACACAGAGGGTCTCGGCAAGGAAGCACAACAAAAAAGAGTTAGAAGGGAAGAACAAATAAGTACAAAAGAAAAGAGGAATCCACAAAAAACAGGGGAGAGGAAATGAACAAAGACACAAGAGGAAAGCTGTGGGCAGGCAGAGAGAAAACAGGACCGCTACTCCAATGCCTCACCCAGTATTAGCCATTGTGTGGGTTTTTGACTTGGCACAGAACTACAGGAGTGAAGAGATCCATAAAGACAATTTGATGGAAGGACTGTAAATATTTTATTGTTTTCAGATTTGGAATAAAAACGAAAGGTGCCTTCAGAATTACAATCTGCTCCTTTAAAGCAAAGTTTCATTTGACCCCAGTGCTCTTCCTGCCATGGCAGGGGGTCGGACTAGATGATCTGGTCAGGTCCCTTCCGACCCTAGAAACCATGAAACTATGAAACTTTACCTCTGGATCCTTTTGCCAGCATTATATTCAAAACCTGATTTTGCTTCCTCAGGAAATGAATTTCAGAAGTCAGGGAATTATGTTGCTCTGAGCCATGGATAAAAATGTTTGCAGAACCTATAAATATATACATAAAATATGATTTATGAGTCATCTCTAGGTCAGTAAAGATTAAACTTTCCCGACACGAACGATTTAAACAATGCGGAAAAACATGTTATGAAAGATATTTATCCCCTATATATTTTTGAAGGTTACCACTACAGACTGAAAGGCAATTCAGGTAAACTCCAAGCCAACAAAAAACTCTGCATCCCAAGTACCTCACTCATTCTGCCAATGTCACCAAAATCGCTAAATGATCCTTGGTAGACTTGATTTTTTGAACTACAGAAGTCACATATAGCAGGCCACCAACCAGATAAGGGAGCAGAACAAACTGCAGGAACTGGTAGTGTTCCATGAGGCTGTCCTACTTTTACAAAGGTGTAAATGGTACTAAGGTTTACTGCATGATAAATCCCAGTACAGCTCCTCTGCTCAAATTTGGTTGTATATGTCCATACCATCTTAGGTGAGAGCCACTGAGATTCTATATTTGCCTGGGTTATTCTTTTCAGGAGAGGTCATTAAGGAAAACCTACAGTAGATGATGCTGGAAGTTGTGAAAATGATTCAGTTGATGATGCTTTTGCTTCTGTGGAGGACTGCAGTGCTGCTGTTACAGTCCTTTGAATCCACTTAAAAACGGAGCTCTTCCCTGGCCACTCTGGGTCATCTGAGATCCTGTGGCACTTATCATATGAGCAGAAGTACTAATCTTATGTCCCAACCAAATTCAAATTCAGGTACTCATTCTGTCCCTAACTTCCATGTACAAGTTTCAACAGCCTATACTGTTCTTCAGTGTCTAGCCTACACTGATGCACGGTGTTACAGTGTACTGTTAAAGTAGCTGTGTTCCACCCTCCAAGAAGCTGCATTTCAGTGATGAATGAAGTAACTGCTATCTGCTTGTGTAAAATCTGCACTGCTGTTTACACTTGCTAAATGACTTCAGGGTCCACTGGAATTAACAGCGCTATTTAAAAGATATTTTAATTGAATGGTGGATCAAATATCTACTATTTTAGTAAAGATCAAGACAAGGAAACGGGTGCCAACTATTCAATTGATAAATAGAAAAATAACTGCCTGGCAAAGAATTAGCTGAATGCATGAGGTAGATGCCTTTCAGCTATAGCAATTCAATTCAATTTGATGTGCTGTACTTTCTCTAAATAATCTCATTTTACTGTAATCCCAATTGAAGCTCTTACCCACTACCTAACTGGGATGTAGTGTGGCATGATATGTGACTCTTGTCATTACTGAAAGACTCAAAGGCACTAGAAGCCTGGCACTAATGGCATTTTACTATCTATATGTTAAAGAGTCAAGGTAGCTATGTGAACTCAAAGGGCTTTTGCCTTTCATATTTTTAACAAAGCAATTCAACTTGAAGTGGCAGAGCTTGATGGTCTCATCTCGATCACAATATAATTTATAGCCCATCACCCAGCCTCACATTATTTGACAGGTTATGCTACCAGAATTTTGTTGAAGGGCTTTTGAATATAACTTATGTAAGGGACTGTGCAGCCCTGATGTTACCAAGGCCACAATCCTGCCATCAGACCCAATACTGTGAACTTCTGCATCCATGCAAAGCCCCACTGACCTCAATTACACTCTGCACAGGTGCAGGACCCCAGCTACCTGACTTAGGTGCTGAACCGGTGCTTATGATTGCAGCTGTTCTGATGAATGTGTCATCTGTTGTAAAAGTGAATGCAAAAAGGAGAGCCACAGAGGGGTTCAGTAAGGTGACTGATGGGGTGTGAGCACTATAATAGCAGCAGCCAGAGTAAAGTAAATATTACAAATATTTATTCTCAGTCAAAAAAAGTACTCTGAGGGTGATGGCATGTAATCAGTAATATAAGGGTTAAAACACTTGCTTTTGTTATTTATATATAGAAAGAGCAAAGCAAGCATTCAAAGCCTAGGAAAAACAGAATTAAAAGGTTACATTTTATTTTGAAGTCTAACATTTGAAACAAGCGGAAAAATATTTCAGTTCTGCTTTTAGTGCAAATTTCAGCTCAGTGCTAATGATGCAGTTATTACCAGCACCTCCATCAATTATAGGATGCTGGGAGCCCAGAGACTTTTGCATACTTAGGATGATCTAAATATTACAAATAAAATAAAAAATTGTGTGCGTGTGTGCACGCATATGTCTACACACACATAAAATATTTACTAGAGAGACTAGAGTAATTCTCTGGATTAGATTCCCATGAATAAACAACTCGATATAAACTTAATTTAACTGACTGTCACTCATCAACTAAGTATGTTATAACTCGGTTTTTAAAGAAAACAAAATAAGGATATTAAATAAAAAGTTTAAAAACATCTGTTTAAAAAATACAGCCCCAAGGCTAACATCTATTGCAGTTCCAGCCAAGAGTTTGTTTTACATCTGAATTCAAAATTAATACACAAAACATCTAGTGGGGAAAAAAAACCCTTGACAAAAGGGGCTTCATTATTATTTCAAAACATGAAACAGATCTTGAAAGCAATAGAAATATAAAATGCTGAGAGAATACAGTAAGAAGAGGAGCTTGTTGTAATGCATAGCTAGTTTTCCCTTTTCTCTCCAAATTTTCCATCCATGCATTGGTAGATCTACTAAAGTAGCAGGAAGACAGATGGAAGACATAAGACAGTTTATAAAGAGAATATACTTTCACTGCATTAATGGATGCCCTTTCCAGAATCTTTATGAAGCTGTAAAAGAGTTGGAACTGTTTCAGTGTGGTTATTTCATGAGAGAACAGTGTGCCTTTCCAGCAGCGTAAATACTTCATGAATGAAATGGGTGCCTTTTATACACCTTTCCATCAGCGTAAATTATTCTTGAAAGCAAACTGCCATTTGGAGGTAGTATCCATTAGACAACAACAGAAATGGATTGTAGGGATGATGTAAAACATAATGAATCTAATTCGAGCATTAGTGAAACTGAGCAAGAGGACAGAATGCAGGTACCCGTTCCTGCTTCTGATGTAACGCTGCAGATTAATCAATCGCTCTAAGGAGAAAGGGTGGGAAGGAGAACGAGAAAAAGCAAAGTGTGGAAAAGTATGCATTGTATCATATAGTTTGAAAAGGTCCTATAAAAGACTACTTAAAAGGTTGACTGATGCCTTGTGAACAAACTGAAATATGCAAGGCCCGGTTTTCAAAGGTGCTTAGCACCTACAGCTCCCATTGACTTCAGGTTTACCTACATATTTTAAGTATTTTCCATCCACTACTTGCCATTAGCAATTGGAATGAAAATGGGCTAGTTGTGGAAATTCCCACCAGTTTCTGCTACTTAAAGTTATTGTGATGAACAAACTTCTCATAGCAAGCAAGTCTAATGACAAGCTGAACGTACTAACCCAGATTTTTCATTCCACATTTGGGCCCCCATAAAAAAAATACTCTGGCTTTAAATCAACTACAGATTCCCCATAGGGAATGCCCCCTCTGTAAGGGGAATCTCTGCTGGTACACCATTAGCAAAGGCAGTACAGCCCCCTCATGGATGGTAGATCTGTTAATAGTTAGTAAATAGAAAAGTAAGGGATATATCCTCAGCATGTCTAAATTAACATCAGTAGATGCCAGGAAGGGTATGAGAGGGGATGGAGCTTTCTATATATACCCTATTCATACGCTTTCCCTCTAAAGGATCCACTTTTGCCACTGTCAGAGACAGCATATTGGGATAGATGGACCATTGATCTCACCCAGTTATGTTCTTACCTCCCATGCCAACCACTCCCCCACAAATGGGAAGGTGAATTAGCTCCACTATGCTCACACTTAAATTGGCATGAGGGATCTTATCCCATCAGTGGCAGCAGCATAAGTTAGACAGGACCCCTTCTGTCCTAATTATACTGGGGCTAGGAAACTCCAAAATTAGGAAGCTAAAATTTGTTCATCACATCCAAGCACACACAGAGAACTCAGAGATGATATCTTAAAATCAAAGAGTCTCTTATGCCAACAATAAAACACAGATGACTAATCCATAATAACTAAGCTACTGAGAACAGAACTAGAAATATCTTTTTGATTCCATAGATAAAATTCACCCATGCTAGAGAAAGAAAGCACAAAGACTTCCAGACTGTTTAAACCCACCTTTGCGAACACAAGTGGGGATTCAAACACTTGGGACACCTGTGCACCACTGACAATTGGGGGCAGGTAAAAGGAGGAATCACAATGTTTGTGCTAATTTACAAGAAATGTAGAACCACAGCTACTAACGCAGCACAGGAATAAAGGATAAAGTAGTGTTGCTGGTGGTGTTGTCACTAAACCTACCTCATAGCCCTAGCTTAGCAGTGTGGTTTTACTGTTCCAGCCATACGTATTTCTCCTGCAGAGCTCAATCACTCAGGCTTTAAACAGGAAAGCAGATTTCACTCATGATGAAATAAGGTCTTACCCTGATCTAGTTCCATGTCTGTTACTTGTCGTTCAAGCTGCTTCCTCAATCTCTCATTAGTTTTAATGGAATCTTCTAAACGTTGTCTCAGAGTTCGAATTTCTTGCAGATGCTCCATTAATAACTCTAAATAAACCAAAAGGCCGCTTTTCATTTTGCGTAAACGACTGCATTCCCTTGCTCTATGTACTGTACCATAGGTAATGTATGTCAGGTGCTAAGAGCTAGAAACTCTAACAAATCACAATGATCTAGACTAAGTGCTTGGCATGCACTAACAGCCTTTTCAATAAGCTATCTGGATCTTACCAAGTATTTAACATGGCGATTTAAAATGAAACATTCCTTTCAATGGAACTCATTATTCTATGTTCTTGCATAATCATATGGCTGTTTTATTCTCTTCTAACTTTCTTCCATTTAAAAACAGCATAACATCACACAATTTTCTAGTTAAACTGCTCTATATATTTGGTAATGAATCTGAAGCTTTGTGATAACTTCGCTGCTAGACTCTGTGCACCAATTGTATACAATTCCCCTCATGACAACAGGACGTTTGCTAGAGTAACTCAAGTATAAAATAAGACTTTGACTTAACACAATGCATAAAAATAGACTTCATGCCTTAATAAATAAGTCTGTTCAACCTAGTTTCATTACAGTACCTTTTCCTTCGTGCTTTGCCAGTCTACAATTTTTCTTCCATCTGCTGTACATTTCAGCATGAGTCAGGGACTTATCTGTTCTAACCGTCACTATCTTATTTGTCAGTTTGTCCATGTCATACACTGCAGGTTTATTCTGTAATAATTTTTTCCCTGAACACCGCGTGCTACTTCAGCTGTTAAACCTCCAGCTCTATCTGCAACAAACTCCTGCAACCATTACTTGTGCTTAGTGAAACTATCCAGGTCAAATATGACACCACTTATTAATTATGCAACAGTTACAATTCTCAAGGAAACACTACACTGGCTTTTATAAAATTAGAAAATCGGTCTTTTTTAATGTAATAATCTCTTGACAATTGTCTGTTTCCACTCATAACTTGTCTGTTTAAAGACTGTCTGGAGTACTGTAAAAAATGACAGTCTAAAACAACAAAGGCACAAAATATCATAGTTAATTTTGTTTCAGAGAAGGAGGTAGCTTGCATCGATGTCATTTTTGTATGCATGATTATTGAAATTGCAATGATTATGCGAGAGACTAGGAAGCTGAAGCAGACATATCCCACATTATTTCTTAATTAGTTCCCTTGTGTCTTGTTTATCAAAATTCCCTCAATATCTATTAAATCTTCAGTGGGAAAAAAAATTACCTGGGGGAAATTTATTTGGCAGAAGAGCCAGAGTGCCATGCTGTCCTTCCATCAGGTCTTGTTTAAGCTCAGGTGACCCAAGAGATGACTTTTCTGACATTTCAAAGTCAGAAAAACTATGAAAAGCAGATGGTACAGGTGACTCATCCTTAAGTTGCTGGTACATTGTGGTAGTCTTCTCATTATCCCTTGTGTGTCAAGCAAAATATTTGTTAATGATTTCTAAGTGATTATTACCACTTGAGAAGCACAATGAATAGAGAAAGTATGTAAAATGGATACAATACATGTAGGACAGCAGATTTTTAAGGATACCTGTGAAATACGGTGGTATGTCACAGTATAATTATCTAAAGCAGTGATTCTCAACCAAGATACCATGTCACCCTAGGGTGCCATGAAATCCTTTTAAGGGTGCCATGAAGTACCACTGTGAGGTATGCAAACACCTACACATGATCCACAAGAAAAACCCAGAGATTTCAAATAGGAATCCATAATGTCAAAAACATTCTGACCTGGTGTGGTCTTTCTGAGTTCTTTGCAACAAAACAATTCCTTTATTAACTTTCGTGTAACCAAGAAACCAATGCAAAGCTAAGAGCTGGCCTTTTCCGAGGGGTGCCTCAAGTCTAAAAAGGTTGAGAATCACTGATAGAGATTTAAATCCTGACCTTACTAAACTCCACAGAAGTCACCAATGGACTTCAATACAGCCAGGATTTCATCCCTAGCATTCACTTGCCAGAAGAAATCTATCATAAATTCTCTTTGTGCCACAGGGACTTAAAGTTGCCTTAACAGGCAATTGAGGATTTCCCCAGTATGAGAATCTTGGCCTGGCATAAAACCAAAATCAAAGAATCATGGAAAATTAGGGTTGCAAGGGACCTCAGGAGGTCATCTCACCCAATCCCCTGCTCAAAGCAGGACCGTCCCCAACTATGTCTTCCCACCCTAGGCTTTGTCTAACCGGGCCTTAAAAACCTCCAAAACGTGTTGTGTTACAGCACCTGCTCCATCACCTCCAGCATAAAGGATACCTTGACAATAAATTTGGAAAGAAATGCACACAGGTGATCCTGAACCAGTCCCTAGCTTTGTCCCAAGGTCAAGGGAAAGAGAAAGACAGCTATAAAAATACCTCTCCTATCTGCTATACTGAGTATACAACTTAAATATTTATGCTAATCTCTCTTAGTCTGCTGGTGAATGTTTTATAGTCACTAATGAAACTGATAGTCTTAGTAACACGAGGCCTCACTTGTAGTGTCTCAACTGTTATACCTTTGCTAAGAAGCGGGGAGAGAAGGCTGGGTTTGTTTTCTATGAATATTTTACTAGCATAATTGATATTAACGGAACTTGTGACATAAGCAAAAGCAATCACAAAGAGTGTTGGAGTTCAAGTTATACTATAAAATATGCAGTGTCTTTACCACTTTATTACACAGCAACATCTTTAATGCTGGTCTTCAATCAGCTTTACTCTTACCTTTGTCCTAGTTCACAAAGTTTGGTAACCTCCATATCTATTAATTCTCCTGCAAAATAAAAATACCTGTTGAAACATTTCTGAAAAATTACTGATTATCTAAGATTTCCCTGTGTGTTAAGTTACTTAAATATGTTAAATTGAATGAAAAATGGAATGGAAAATTGACAAGCAGAAACTGGTACTAGCCTAAGTCAGAAATAAACCACCACACTATAGGGTGCTCACTCAGAAGGTGCCCACTTTGGATGTGTTAATACCAAATGGTGTGCAGGTGCCTTGAAGATGTAACATGTGTACAATGGCAAGAGATAGGACTTTATCCCACAGTTGTACAGCAACAGAACAGTAATCCTACCAGGTCAAAAGAATGATAGGAGGAGTGACTGGCTATCATGCCTACTAGATTTCACAGCCTTTGCATCATGGTTCAGATTCCTTAATGTTTTCTACAGTATATGGAAGGAGTATCCAATTCACGGCACATGTGTTACAAGAGGCACAGATAGCCTGTGAGTGTGACACGTAGCAGATTCAGGAAGGAGCAAGGAACATAGCAGCAGATAGGGCAAGGAGCAGAAAACAGAGCAGTAGATCAGACAGGGAGCACAAGGCAGAGAGCAAAAAGCAGAGCAGCACATAAGACAAAAGAAGGGGATCAGAGTGACACTCAGGAAAGGTGCAGGGCTTATTTTACACTCGGGAGAGGTGCAGGGCTTATTTTGTGGCTCACCTGGTATACGATACAGCTACAGAATAAACACAGTGCAAGCCACTAACCTTTCAAATAAAAAGGTGGTGACAAGAACTCCACCCTTCTTGTCTTCTGACTATCTTTAGTCTAATAAGAATGGCAAGGCGAGCGTGCTCCCCTACCTACAGTAGGTAAATGCAGGATTTTGTCTTGAATAATCTACATGTAAATAGCCCAGTGACAGTGCTGGAGATCCAGACTCTAATTTGGATAATAAAGAACAAGAATTTGAGGGTCTGACCCTGTTCACCCCACTTGTGCCCAATGGACAATACCATGCAATTAAACCCAAGCAGCCGTCCTGGCTCAGGAGACACAGGACTGGCATGTCAGGGGTATGCACTGAAGGTCAGAACTGAAGTGCAGAGACAGAAGAGTGTTTATGCTACTCCTTTAAAGTCACTTCTTAGTAACCCAAATGTTCTTTATAACCCTACAGACATCATCTTATTTTAATGTGATTCAGTGCAACACCATTTTGTTAGATATATTGAATTGTCTTGCTTATCAGTGACTTTTCATAGTACATAGGATACCATCTGTTGGTTTGGGATTTTTTTAAAGGCACTTTAATGTTTATTCACTACTGAATCTTCTTATTTGTAATGCAAGGAATCTCCATATCCACTGAAATCACTGAATATACTCAATCTTTTGTTATACTGCTATGACACACTAGCTGTAATACCTTTTTCTCAGATATAGCCCCTTTATATGAGCAATCAAAACAGCAACATGCTGCTGCTTTCCTTGAAGACAGGTAGGACAGGGACCATTGTTTGATTGCCCTTGGAATGTCTCTCAAGAAAGGTGTCTTCTAGAGGCAATTACAGGAAGATGGAGGGGTCAGTGTCCCCATTTTAAAGGCTATTTCAAGCATTTGCTTGAAGATGATAACTTTGCAGCTGACACCTGCAAAAATACTGTCAGCCAAGTGGGTCAGAGACAGAACAGGAACAACTATCAGTGAGGAAAGAAGAGGGCTTTCATGATGCATTTTACTCCCAAAACAAACCTTGTCCTCTTTGCCATCACTCTGACACACAATTTTCTTCAAGAACAAGGGGTGAAGGGAAGTATGGCATTCTCCTCTTTTGGGCATCACAAGTCAATTTCTGTGACTGGTTTTGGATCATTACTGCATTTTAAATCTCTGTTGTATAAATGTGTCAATCGGTCTTTCACCCTGCTGCTGCCGCCATGCTCATGTCCCCAAGCATCATTCTACAATAAAATCCCAAATCTCAATAGTAGCCCTTCCTGGTTAAAATAATCTACAAATGTAAGGGACAAGTGATACCCAAGTGACAGCTTCTGCGTCCTGCTTCTCAGACAGGCTCTGAGCCCAGTTTCTGAGTCCATGCCTCAATGCACCCTGGGTGTGTTCGGACTGAGATCTTTTGGCAACTAAGATAAAGCCTTCAAAGGAAGAGACATAGTTTTAGGTGCATAAATTCTCATTCTTCAGAGTAAAGTCAATATGCTCAGTGAAGAGGATTAAGTAAGCGTGATAACTCCCCTCTGCATGGGTTCACACCCTAAACAAGTCTGGTGCTTTCTGATAACTAGTTGCTTTCCCCATTGTAAGCTTCTCAGGAAACCTACAAGTGAAACTACTGTTCCTCTTATTTCAGAACTCATCTTTTCTTTTCTTTTTTTAAGAACCATGACATTTTTATTTCAACCAGAGGTAAACATAACAAAAAAAAAAAAAGGCCACTTGCAGGCCACTCTTTCCTTCCTTACATTCAGAGAAAAATCTAATTTTACAAGCATTTCTTCTTCTGAATATCACTGTTGTCCCTTCCATTCATGTGGTTTACCCCTCTTCAAAACCAACTGACCTTCTCTTCTTTAGACCTTCAGCCTTCCAAATGAGCTGTTTGGGTGGGGTTTCAACCATGCACAGGACGGTGTGCATCTACACACCCAATGCCAGGAAGTTTGCATTTGTTGTTGAGCAAGGACACAACAATCAAACTATCTGCTTAATAACTTTTATCCTAGAAAATCATCTTTCATAACATACAAACCCAAACTAACACAGCCAACCCTCCATAGCAAGTGATTCCATTATTGCCCATCACTGGTATCTATTTGCACTGGGCACTCGAACAGGAACGGAAATTTCCTACATTGCTATGGAAAAGTTCCACATCTCATGAAATGCAAGTGGGAATCTCCATTAACGAAGACAATTTGTAATTAAAAGAGTATTAAGCAAAATCTACATTTTTAAATAATTTTTAAATGAACTTTCCTGGCCCCAATCCAACTCTCACTGAAGCCAATGAAACAATTCCCACCAAAGACATGAGTGGAGGTGACCCAGCAAGGAGGCATGATTTGAAGTCCTGCTGGGAGCTGGGTTGATTCCTAAAAGTCTTGAGGTCCATATGTTGCTAAACTCATCATTAATTCAGCTGTAACCCTTGTGGCTTTAATCTAAACAGTTGTAGCTGTCTGGTGCACTTACCTGAAAAGGTAAATTTGGGCATTTTATGAATGTTAAAATTTAATTTACCATGCTTTGACAGGGACAGCAGCTGCCTGCCTACCCTTGTGATTGAAAGAACTATCAGAAAGGTAACGCTGAGTCACATGAAGATGGACAAGGAAAACACACGCAAATGGTTTTCCAAAGTAAAACCTTCTCAGAATTCTGCAGATTTCCAAAAAATATTTATGCACTCGAGACAGTAAACATGGAAATATAACCACCTACCATAGAGAAACTTCTTTTCCAGCTTCTCAAACAGTTGCACACTTTGATTCAACTGTTCACGGAAGCCCTCGGCGACATAATAATCAACATCACTAGCTTGAAGCAGCTCTTCAAATGCTTTAATAAGGCTGGTCAGATGTTGATAGTAAGTGACAGAAATGCTGTGGATCTCTTTAATTTGCTGCCGTTGAAAGGAGAGTTCCCGAGCTTGGGAGTGAACTAATGAATCATAGCTGAGAAAATACAGTTATCCTTAAAAACAATTTTCTGACCGTAACTAACATTTAAACAAAAATAAAAGGAATTAAAATCGCATTTCCTGGCTAAAATGTTATGTTTTCCTCTCAAAATACCATCAGCAACAATGACAAATATCTTCTTCAAATTAGGCTTTGCAACTCTGGAGACAATGCACAGGTTATTATCCTTAACAATTAATTTCCAAGTCATGTTGGCACTGAAACTCATTTGGTTTGTCTGGAAATACCTGGAAATAATCTGATTCTGAGCACCTGATAAACATGCAAGTGAGGTGGCAGCTAAAAGAGCTAGAGTGAAATAAATTGGAAAGAACATGCAAAGAGAAAAAAGTGCATGTCTTCTCTACGGTGGTTGTCTGTGGTACATTACTAAGGGCCAGATGGGGTTTAACCTTCCTCTGGAGCACCGTGTATTGTCATCGGCCAGAGGCAGGATACTAGACTTTCTCAACTTAATGTTAGTATGACAAATTCTAGTTTTGTCCATATGCTTATTGCTACAGATGCGAGTATGACAACCAACCTACTGCCTAAACTCTCGTATTCACAAACCAGGATATAAATTTCAACTCAGATCAACTGCGTTTATACTGTACATGTGGATATAGATGTCCACTTTATATTGCACCTCTCAGTATCAGTATCACTAATATGGCCCTTTCTACGGGACCATAAACATCAGTGGGGAGACAAAAGAGGGGAACTGAAAAAGGGAAGAAGAGGGAAAAAATGAACAAAATACGGGGTATAAATAAAATCTATGACAGCGTGGGTTGCTATAGCATTTTTATTGCCACTTATTTCAGAAGAGATGCATAACTCACCTGGGAGTTTGAGAATCATCATCCCAAACCCATGGCAATAAAAACTTTACAGCAGCCCATATCATTACATTTCACAGGTTACATAGTTTGGTCGACGTATGTCCTATGTAATATGTAGGATATTATAATAAAGGAATAATAAAGGAAGTGTATTTTCAAAGCAATCAAATTCTTATGGACTTTGAAGCAGGAGAGTATTTTTCTGAGCTAACATTAAAGGACATACCAAGTGCCCATAATGTTAGATCTACTAGTACCAGCTACATCAGTGGCTAGCAAATATCTCTCCTCATGGATTATGGAGAAACCTAAAGGTCTGAATACATTTATATTCCATCTCCTACTGTTGTATATTCCCTCAAGGGAAGATTAATCTTGCCACTACAGCAGAGGATTAGATATTAGAAGGCCCAGATTCTATGCCAGTGTACATCTGTGTGACATGTGAATACAGCATTTAATTTTTGCAGCCTCAGTTTTTCCCTTAAGTAAAAAAGATACCCTCAGCCTCACAAGGAGGATTCATTAGCTTCTGAGTTCCTGCTCTAAAGCTTCATTCTTCAATTTCCATATTGCTTTCAGATCTTTGAATAGAAGGCACTACTGCACACAGTACTTGATCTTTATTACAATATTACCAATCCCTATGACTAGGGACACACCGCCAAAAAGATTTGGAGGAATTTGGTTACCAACTCTTCGTACAAATGTGTCAGATTCTACTTCAGATATGATGCAGAAATATCCTTATCTTTTCCACAAAAGTTAAAGCGCTGAAAAATTTCAGGGAGTGTGATTTTGGAAGTCAGTCCATCCCACAGAGAAACTGGTTTGCAAACAAGAGACTGCATCAAGCAGAAATCATAGACCTCCACGGGAAAAGGGTGTGGGTGGCATAAAACCATCAAGGAGGTTGATATGGGCATTAATGAAGTAGCTTTTTGAATGTCAGTCACAATAGTGTGTACTTTAATGGAAAATGACTGAGTTTTAATAAGGGATTGCCTTAATATCAGGGAAACTTACAATAATGATGTGGTGGTATGTAAAAGAAAATGATCCCCACACTGGTCTCTTCAAATACTGATATTTCCACTTACTCACAAGGGCCTGAAAAAAGCATCTGCATTACTCACTTGGATGGAGATGATTCTCTAAGCTTGGTCTGGAGGCAGTATACTTCATCAAGAAGACGCATATTTGCAATTTGCTCTTTTTCAAGTTCAGCCTCATTTTCTAATAGTAGTTGCTTAAGTTTTTCTGCTGTCTGTTCTTCAGGTGTCCCTGACAACCGGGAATTCAGGTTTTCTATATGGATTTCATAATCCACTTGCTGACGTACTGTAGAACATGCATTAGACTGTTGCCTTTCTGTATCTTGCATTTGTAAAACATCTCCTTCTGTAGCCAATGCTGCATCATTCGAAATGATATTGAAAATATCACTGGGCAAAAATTGTGTAGTAGGCTGCAAGTGAAATATGAACATTTTGTACCTGTCAAGCTCAGATTTCATATCCCTAATTCTTTGTCTCAATTCTTCTATGTCATCCGTGACCTCATGGTCAGCAAATGCATCTGTACTTGTTACATTTAGTTTGTGAGAAAGCAGACTCTGGGAACCAGAATATGTTATAGCAGAGTCAATGTCCTCATTCTCCATGGAATCAATCTCTTCATTTAGCTCTTTCATTGAATGTTGGTTATTCATGCTGCTTACGTTATGATGATTTTCTGTTTCTGAAAAATAAGAGGCTTGGATATCAGCATTAATAATTATTTATCTGACATTCTGCTCAACAGCATTGGAACAAATTCCTTCACTTCGACAACAATGGAATAAAACATGGAATAATCATGGAGTAAACTGCACTTGTTCTGTGCCTCTGACCACTAATCCAACTTACACTTCTACCATTTCAAGCCCCTAATCAGCTTTCAAATAACCAATTTTCAAAACATAAAATCTGCTTCTTTCCCAAGGAGAGATTTAAAATTACATTTGCTAATTTCAATGCTGGACCAGTGACAATGCTAAATTCCCGTATCTTTCAAATACAAAGGTGAGTACCTCACATAAAAGGCATTAAAATGAAAGCATTACGATTCATAAGCAAGCCTGATGATTTTAGATCATTCTTTTTCAAAAACTTCTAAAAATTAATTTTATTTTTTCCTTATTCCATACAAAACCAACTGCAATTTAAAAGGAAGCAGGATTTTAAAAGATAACCAAAAATAGCAAAGTTGGAAAAAGAAATTCTGATAACTTCTCTTCAAAAAGTGGCTTAAACAAAATCCATAAAAGTGTTTGATCTTAAGCTTTCCTGCTGCTCACTTGGGATGCCCTACACAACTCACATTTGACTTCTCCAGTCATAAGTACTACAGTCACCCCAAATTAATGTCAGTAAAAACTTTATACCCCTAAAGTGTGTAGTCTATACTTGTAGTGTATCGAGTGGAGCGAGGGGTAAGTAGCAAGGGCAACAGTCTTCTCCAGTTACCAAGAAACAAAGTTCTTCTATAGGGCTAGCGACAAAAAATTATCACTTGGTTGGAACTTCCTCATGTTCAACTTTGTATAGTAAACAAATCACGATGACTGCCCTATGTCCCTGGGAAGCCTGTACAAACTCAACATAATCTAGCCTGATTACCATATTTACTCAAATACAAGATGAGGTGTCTCCCGCCGCCCCAAATGGCATGGGGAAAAAAGCCTCCTCATCTTATAATCATGCATACAACAAAATCTCACTAAATACGCGGTCTATCATTTAACTGTTACTAAAAGCAGCATGTGCTCAGCAATGGAAACCAACCGTGAAGTTGACTAAATGCAGCCAACACTGACCATGACTACAACACAGTCCACATTAGGCAAACATGCTGATGGGAACCCACTACAAGAATAGGTTAATGTAGCTCATCTGAACAAGATATATGGCAGTACCCATTAAGTGCAGTCCCCTCACCACCGACTCTTTTTCAGGTCAAAGTAAGCCACAACAGTTCACCCAGAATCCCTCTGTTGCCCCATCTCTCAGCCCAGTGTATATTAGTGTGGCCACACCCTCCATAAAGTGAAGCTGGGCCAGATTGTCCTGTGCCTCATTGTGGCAGGCTCATGCCCCACCCACTGCAGGGCCAGCATCCTGGTGGCTGGTCTGCAGGCAAGGTGACCAGCACTACATGGCTGGAAGAAGCACCACTGGTTGGTCCAGTGCCTGAAGGCTCCAGGCATAAAAGGAGCCCAGGAGCCAAATGACAAGGGAGAGACAAGGGAGCACTGGTAGCAGAGCCAGATGCTTCCTCCATGACCAGAAAAAAGCTGGCTTGTCCCTGCTGTGGAGCATGCCTAGAGAGGCAGCACCTGCCCATCCTGCTGGTTGAGTGTGCAGGGAAAACCTAGGCATGCAGAAACTGTTGGTACCAAGCCAGAGGCTCTCCTTGGGGCAACGCACCCTGGAAAGAGTGAGGACACCCAGATCGTCCAGACAGCACCAGAAAACAATCCAGGCAGCGGCTTGGGGTGGCAGGCAATGGGGCAAGGGGCCAAGACTCAACCCCACTCATCAACACCTGTGACTACTCCCTGAGGAGTGCACACGTCAGCTGGGGCTGAGAGGGGGCAACCCAGTGACCACTACTGGGACCCACAGAGGGGAAGACCCTGCTCAGGAACCCCCTAATCCTGCTCATCTCAACCAAGGTGCTGCGGACCCAAAGCTTCCCAGCAGGGAGTTGGCAGATCCATGAGTGTTGCATAGGTGTGAAGAAATGCTCCAATATGTGGCCAGGTGGTAGCCGGCCCAAGAAGCAGGTTCAACATGGGGGCACCTACGATGTGAGAGCACATGGGAACAGGGTGCACCTCGCCTCAAGCCCCAAGCACTGAAAGGAAGCACTAGCCACAGTGGTCACCACTGCCCTGCCCACCACATCATTCAAGCTGTTTTGGTTAAAGTATTGTTCCATTACCATTTTTGTTAGTCTAAGAGGCTGTAGCCGTACCCCTGCAGGCAGCCGCAAGACGAGGCCTTAATGCAACAGCAAATGACACCATCACGACACCATCAAGACCGACCTATAACATCTGAGTGGAATGGGATGGGGTGTAGGGGAGGAGGACCCCCAAAGAAGTAGTGCTGGCAGAGTTGCCCAGGGTCATAGGGAGACCACGGAACAATATCTTGTTGTATGGGATTTTACCTGGACAAGTCGTGGCAGGAAAGTACACCCTGGTGTGGCATAACCAAAAGGGCAGGGCACACCATCAGCAGTGCAGCAATCAAGAGCCTGCCACACTCATCTGCATATAAACTTCTGGAACATCCCAGAACTTATAACAAGATCACCCAGTTCTGGTCATGAATAAGGGTTAATTAGCATATGGATCCTTTGTGGAGAGCATCTGGACTATACATGCATACTGAGCAGCGTTGAGCTGTGGTGTCACCGTGGCTTGAAATGCTGTTAAATTGGGTTGGAGGGTTGGGGATGGGGAGGCCCAGTCCAATGAACTATGTGGTAAATCATGAGCCTTTGGCTTTGGACTAACAACATGCATAGTTTATACTACATAAGTAGGTGCTGAAGTGCTGCTCAAAAAAGTATTAATAGTGTGTCTGTACTAAAACTTGCAGCAGTTTCAAAACAAAAAAAAAGAAACATGCATCAATTCTGGACAAATGAAGTGCAAGGGTACTATATACAAATTGCCATAGCCATGTTTAATTTTAAGGTTCTTGTTTTCAAATTTACTCCTTACTTCCATGCACTCAAGGAGACCAGGGTCTCACAGTAAGGAGAGGGGGAAGTGGCTGCCAGGGGAAAAAGTGGAGGAGGCACAAAGCAAAGGGCTTCTTGACACTCCTCCTCTCCCCGCCCCCCGATTTACTTTTCTTGCTGTAATGGGAGACGAATTCAAGGCAAATCTCCAATAATCAGATTTTATACCTGGAAAATTACAACAAATTTAAAAATTTTCCATATATAGAATCTAATTTTGGGGGGCTGTCTTATAATCAGGGTCATCTTCTATTCACATAAATATGGTATTTACCTCCCTGTTTGGTGTAGCTGGAAGAGAGTTGTAGGGCCTCTGTATGGGTAGTCTAGAAATTACCACCTTTTCTTGCATACCACATACCCCATAGTATAGCATACACCTTGTTGAAGGCAAAAATGAAGGAAAACATGTATTTTCAGTCATGACCACAAGGAACGTGGAGGCCACATGGCACAGGGACAGTCTACTCTTCATCATCACTTACTCTCTTCTTGCAAAATCCACAGCTCGAACTTTAACCCAGTCACAGCTGCTGCTGAATTGATAGCAGTTTTTGGCTGCTGTGCGAAAACCTACTGCTAATTCAGCAGAAACTGTGACTGGATTAAAGCCTGAGCTGCGGATCTTACAAGGAGAGAATGAGCGACCCTGGGTTGCAGTCTCCACCCTTCTTGCTTGCTGCCAGGAACCCAACATGGAGCCAGCTCCTGGCAGCCATTCCAACACCCCCCATACATCTATTCTGGCACAGAAAACAGCTTCTCATGTAAAACAGGCCCCCAACTTTGAAGGGTGATTTTTGGGGAAAGGGTGGGTGCGGTATATGAGCTTATTATTACTAAATATGAGAATGACCACGTGCCAAAAAAGATGGAACAACATATTGTGAAAGCCACATTGCTTTAGGACTAGAACGTTCAAAATAGAAACATCAGGGCTTCAGTGGCCAACTGTCAGACGAAAATGAAGTAAGACCTAAACATGGAAGTTACTGATAAAATAATAAGGAATTCTAAAGACTAGTGACAGACCAGATTCCATGAGCTTGCATCATGCTGAGAAGTCCAGCTCAGACAACATACTTTGAAGACTATATTCTAGTTATCTCCATTTATGGTACGAGAGCCAGTCAACCACTCATATTGGTCTGAGTCATCAGAATTTGTTTTCCTTAACTGAGGTGTAAAGCAGATTCAACAGTCTACCGACTAAACCTTTAAAAAGTTTGGAAACAGGCATACCAACCAAAGGAAAGTCACGTAAAGTAGCAAGGCTTCCAAGGAGGAGTTTTCATTTTAATTCCTTAAGGGCTTGACCCTGCAAAGTCCTAAGTACCTTCAACTGGCACTGCTCCCACAAATTTCAACAGCAGTTGAAGATGTTCAGCTATCACGCTTTAACTCAATCCAAAGCTCAACTCAACAGATTGCAAATAGATTGGTCTAAGGGAGCGGGATGAACATGGAGGGGCGAGTCAAGCTTGAGCACAAGAAAATATAAATAATTCTGCCACCTGAATCAGAGCATGAGAAAAATCACAATGTGCTTATCTATCCCATGCATACTGAAAAACAAGACGCTGCACAACCTGAGACCTGCAATGCTGCATCATTGCTTACGCTAGAGAAGCGACTGCTTCCTAGTTCACTGCCTCCTCCTGCTTATTCTCCACCTGAAAGGCATAATCCCGACTTTGCAGTTGGTTGCTATAATGATTAAGGTGTCACAGAAGGTTGCAGATTCAGATGACAAATAAACCGTGAGACCAGATGAACTCAAACTCAATAATCCTGCTTTCACACAAATGTCCCATATAATAAAAATGAGAAATAGAAACAGAAAATATGGAAGCACTGTTTCTAATTAGAATGCTTGTAATCGTTTTTCATGAGTCAGTAACTGCTCCTTAACTAAATGCGTATGATTTGATTCTCCAACTCTTACTGATTGACTTCAGCGGGACTCCTCACGAGTAAAAATTACTCACATGGGCAAGGGTTGCAAAATTAGTCTGATACTCAGTATTCTTCATGCAGCTAGATAAATAGGTCATTCAAGCCCTCTCAGAAAGACAAATGGATTATATAAAACCACATACTACACAGTATTAACCCCATTTACATTTTCATTAAATGATTCAGGTTTCAGGCAAGTCAAATGCCTTCATATAAATTCAGATAAGCAAAATGCTATCGTTCTATTGCTTCATCCTTGCATTTCATCATGTATGCAAAAGCACACAGTAATGAATATATTCAGTTCGCAAAATGAATCAAAAGAATTGCGGACGTTTGCAGGAGAGCATATAGGGAGTTAGGCATGCAACTCATTTTTACTGGAAACTGGTCATACATCCTTGTGACTCTTCAGAAAACATATCCCTTAAGATACTAACTTGGAATTCTTGGGGACAGTAATTCTGTACTAATTAAGTAAACAATATTGAAAGCCAAAAAAAAAGAAAAAATAATCAAGGAAAAATGGTTAATATGAAATCATCTACAATTTACATATAAAATATTAATATTAGTAGGTTTCAGAATCCTGCTCTCATTATTTTGTTGTCATACTCTACCTTGCCTATCTCTCTGACTGTTGTTGGTTTTATTTTCATTCTTGTCATGGGTATCAAATCCACCATCCAAAGCATCCACCTGGACCTCTTTGTAGTCCAAAGGCATCACTGACTCGGCTAGAAGGAAAAATAAAACAGAAAGCTGGAAGTGACTGGAAAAAAAAGAGTCAAAAGTGGATAATAAAATAACCAATAGTGCAATAATTCAGAATGGCAAAGTCATCTAAATAAGAACTGCCATAGTAAATATTCGACTGATGTGAAATAGCCTATGCACACATTTTTAAATGTGTGAATCAATTATCAGGATAATTATGAAGAATTTGAATGTCAAGGGCTTCTTACTCAATCTTACCACCAAATGTTAGTGCTGGGACATCACCTGACGAGTACATACAAACTTTCAACACTCTTCACAATACAGCCAGTAGTTGACTTAAAGTGTGGTGCTTAACCTACTTTTGTGTCTATTTACAATAAAGAGTCAATTAAAATCAATAAACATTCAATAACATTACTTATTTTTTTAACAATATTTGCAACATCATTTTCTATAAACCTCCCAGAGCCCCTGAATCCTAGCATGTGCTGAATGCTGTTCTTCATTGAGGCACATGTGCAGGGTTACAAGCAAAAGGATTATTGAAGCTCCAATAGGTAACCAACTATTTCAGGATCCAGGCCAAAATTTGATCTGGCTCACTCCACAGACCACTGACTAGGTCCTAATTGCACTAAAGTCAGTGGGTGAAGTCCCATCAACTTCAGTAGTAGTTCAGAACCTCTTGTCTCCAACTGCTTCTTTTCATACTCACTTAAGTACAACGCATCCATCTCATTCTACCAGAGTCACTGTTGGCAAAGACGACTCGTCCCTCTGCAATTTGCGCCTTCTGAAAATGTAGACTCTGTCTTCCACCTCATTTCAGATCCTTAAAATATCTCTTTTCCTCCATCCAGACTTTATAACCCCCTCACTTATTGATCTTATAGCCAAAAGCATTTTTCACCAAACTGCATCTTCCTTTAATATACATTGTCCACTGTCTCAATCTGTAATACTTTGCTGATATAGATATTTTGTTTACTGCTGGATTTAAGTTAAACCCAGAACACTAGAAACAGACATCTGAGAACTTGATTGATCAATGGGAATGTTAGGTACAGTCACTTATACAACAAAGGTAGTGCCATCTATACTTTCAGTCTTACATGTTTTCCATCAAATTCAAATTCTTTAAATGAATACTTTGGTTTACCCAAATATAAATATAAACATGCTCCGAAACTCATTTATTATATATTTATGCCAGGTATACCATGTACCTTTATTGCCTACCAAGCTGCATTACACTACAGCTATAAAGATAAATTTAACTTGAAAACGCCACTAAACGTATTCCAAGACGTATTTGTCCCCAAGCAAACTGTAAGATTAAGCAGTATCATATGCATGTTAAAGTGATCTCCCTTTTATTTCCACTTTAAGAAAAGAAGCTAATATTTCAAGCTATACAACATGTTATTCTGTCTGCTCTTTAAATGCAAATGTTTATTTACCTCTCACTGATGCTCTTTTCTGTTCAGGAGGCGTCTCTTGAAAATTTTCAATTAGAGATTTGCTCAAAGATAACTCTTTGTCTCTTGTTGTTTGTTGCTGAAGTTGGTCGCTTTGCATTTTACTTTCCTTGAGACCTTCATCAACAGCCATGATCCGGTGCTGTAAATGCATATCTGGCTTGTGTGTGCAGGAGGCTAATGGAATGTTTCCTAATGATCTAGATGACTTTAATGGAACGGGTAGACGGGACTTCTTGGACAGGTAAATGGAATCACTCTGAAACACACATTTAATAAATGTGGTGGTTGGCCATATGTAGTCAACATATGGCTTAGCCAGTAATAAGCAGGTTCTCACCAGGAAAAATGCAAACAAAATGTTACGCATATCAGTTAACTAATCTATTATGCAGCTTTGAAAATAAGATGGTGATACCCTTGCAAAGAAAAAGAGCATTTGTAGGGAACAGAGATATCCTCCTAGCCTAGTTTTTATGATTTTCTAAAAATAACTGCTGATTATGGATCCGTAGCCCTGGGTCTTCTGGCTTCTAGTGGTGGAATCAAGACAGCAGATTGACTGTCTATGCACAAAGACTCATAATCACCAGGTATGTTAAGTGCATATTGTGCGTATGCCTTAGAGGCATACATTTATATCTCCCGTTTTGTCTAACTAGTCACTCACTTATTCAAGAGATACCATGAAGGATCTTTGAGCTTAGTATCTTAACTTCTATTCCTCTTTTTCCCCACTCTAAAGGACCCTCCTAATTCTTCACACATTGCTGAAGGCATTATCTTTGCTTCTTCCTCTCTTCATGCAAACAGGCCCAGCATTTCAGCAACCATCCCCAAGCCTCCTCCCCACCCCCACACCTCAATCTTTTGAGCCAATGAGTGCCGCTTGTTGTGTCCATCACAAAGGGACACTAGTGCATAGGGACAGTTTCTTCTGTCGCACACCCTAAAAGATGAACAACACTGCCTCTGAAGGGCTCCAATTTCCTATATTTATGACCATGTTGCATCGCCCTCTCTAATAGTCTAATATTATAAAAACCTACGTCTGTCAGTCTGTAATGCTTTATTCGCACTCTGATTGGCTGATGGAAACAACCAATCAGAGTGCTCCAAGTGTGGGGAAGCGCTGCCATGATTCCGAAGCCGCACCAAGGACCGGACAGAGGGTGGGGGAGCCGAGGCCAGGAGCGAGGCCTTGGCTCCCCTCCCCCCCGCTCCCTGCAAGAGGAAGAACAGCAGCAGCATGGGGCATTAGGTGGCAGCACTCCATCACAGCACCCTCCTCCCCTGTCATTCTTGACGGGAAATTGGCTGGTTTTATCATAAACTGTAAACCACCAGAGCAAGGAAAATTGGTTAGGGGGCTGGGGCACATGTCTTACGAGGAGAGGTTGAGGGAACGGGGCTTATTTAGTCTAGAGAAGAGGAGACTGAGAGGGGATTTAATAGCAGCCTTCAACTAGCTGAAGGGGGGTTTGAAAAAGGATGGAGATGAACTGTTCTCAGTGGTGGCAATGGGCAGAGCAAGAAGCAATGGTCTCAAGTTGCAGCAAGGGAAGTTTAGGTTAAATATTAGGAAACACGTTCTCGCCAGGAGGGTGGTGAAGCACTGGAATGGGTTACATAGACAGGTGGTGGCATCTCCATCCTTGGAGGTTTTTAAGGCCTGGCTCGGATTATCTAGTGGGGAACAGTCCTGCTTTGAGCAGGGGTTGGACTAGATGACCTCCTGGAGTCCCTTCCAACCCTAATTTTCTATGATTCTATGATTTTAGCCTGTCCCCTTTTGGGAATTTCCCAAACAATAAATACATTTTAGTTGTCAACACTGTAAGACAGAAAGAATGAGATCTCAGTTTTCAAACTCACACACTCTGCTGACAAGAACTACAGTACTGTGTGAAATAATAATAAAAATCAATATTATCCTCTTCAAATAAACCTAGTTTACACCTTCTGTTATGCATTTGCTCCACTAGTGTGTCATGAGTCCTGTAATTTCTTCTACCATTTAATGTATTCTGAAGTACTGTTCTATATTCATTTCCTAGCAATTATAGTCTTTACACAATTTAAAATAATAAAAAGCAAGTTCCATTTTTGCTAATGACATACTCAATTCCTTTGGTACCTATGAATGCAATATCATTTGAAAGCTGGAAAATAAATCCAATTGTGGTAAATTCCTCATTCTTTCATTAAAACGTGCTTGGAACTATTCTCAGATCCATGTTAGGGCTATGGTATGACACCTGTTAGTCTTAACTGTCCAATGTGCAAAATCCAACTCAGCCTACTGCATAACACTGTTTCTACAAAGTTAGCCAAAAAAAAAGTTAAAAGAAATGCTGAATTAGTGCAAACAGGAAAGATTTCTGATGCAACTAAATCAAGAGTTGTGACTGATCAACAAGAGGAAGATGAAATTGGAAAGTAAGGAACCACAACTAGCGTGTTGGAATTCAGGCCTAACTAGTGAACCAGGGTATTGAAGAGGCGATAGATCACTTTAGACATCAAGTTCAGTGCTGTCCTGTGAAAGGATCCACTGCTGCCATTATCGGAGACAGGATACTGGGTAAGATGGGCCACTGGTCTGATCCAGTATGGCACTTCTTTATGTGTTCTCTCTCAGCTTTTTGCCTGCTCCTGAAACCAGGTGCACTTGATATGGTCTCCAACAGCATTCTTGCAAGCAAGCTAAGGAAGTACGGTTTGGATGACAGGACTGGAAGGTGAATAAAAAACTGGCTGGATCACCAGGCTCAAAGGGTAGTTAATAACCAACAGCTCGACGTCTAGTTGGAAGCCGGTATCAAGTGGAGTGCTCCAGGGGTCAGTCCCAGGGCTGGTTTTGTTCAATATCTTTATCACTGACCTGGAGGATGGGATGGAGTGCATGCCTCAGGAAGTCTGCAGATGATACCAAGCTGTAGGGAGTAGCAGAAATTCTGGAGGGTAGGGCTAGGATTCAGAGAGACCTTGACAAATTGGAGGATTGGACCAAAAGAAATCTCATAAGGTTCAATAAAGATCAGTGCAAAGTCCTACACTTAGGACAGAACAATCCCATGCACCAGTACAGGCTGAGGACCAACTGGCTAAGCATCAGTTCTGCAGAAAAGGACCTGGGGGTTACAGTGGACAATAAGATGAATTTGAGCCAACAGTGTGCCCTTGTTGAAAAAAAGGCTAACAGCATACTGGGCTGCATTACTAGAAGCACTGCCAGCAGATTGAAGGAAGTGATTATTCCCATCTATCCAGCACTAGTGAGGCCACATATGGCATACTGCATCCAGTTTTGGGCCCTGCACTACAGGGGGGATGTAGAAAACTTGGAGACAGTCTCATGGAAGACAACAAAAATGATCAGGGGGCTGGGCCACATGACTTCTGATGAGAGACCAAGGGAACTGGGCTTATTTAGTCTGGAGAAGAGAAGACTGATTTAATAGCAGCCTTCAACTACCTGAAGGGGGGGTTTCCAAAGAGGATGGAGCTGAACTGTTCTCAGTGGTGGCAGAAGACAGAACATGGAACAATGGTCTCAAGTTGCAGAAATGGACGTTTAGGCTAGATATTAGGAACATTTGCTCACCTGGTGGGTAGTAAAGGACTGGAACAGGCTACTGAGAAAGGTGGTGGAATCTTGGAAGTTTTTAAGACCTGGATAGACAAAGCCTTGGCTGGGATAATCTAGTTGGGGATGGTCCTGCCTTGAGCTGAGGGTTGGACTAGACTAGATGACCTCCTGAGGTCCCTTCCAAACATAAGTTTCTATGATTATATGGTCACCAGCATGACAGGATAAGATGGCACATGGACTGCTGCCCAGCCTGAGAATGACCCGTAAAGGAGAGGGACCCTGCCAGACTAACCAGATAATGCCCTGGGCCGAGAAAGAAAGTTAAGGTCCACAGCAACCGCTGCTGTGGCCCACTTGCCCGCCCTATGCATACACATCCATGGCTGACTAAACACCCCTTAGCATCTTGAGAAAATTAACGAAACTTTTTAAAGTCCTACCTCTCCTCTCCTTTTGTGTCTGCTCTGTAAAAAAGCAAGAAAGGTAACACCATTCTCACAGTGACCAACTTGCAATTCACCAACAGAGTCAACCAACCTTTTCCTCTCCACTAAGAAGGATTAACAGAATAACTGACTAATTGAAAAGCTTCTCTCTCATGAAGGCACTTATATTTTGATAGTTGTTCCTGTTTAACTGCTCAGCTTCAGTTTCTAAGGGCTTTATGTTTTGGTTCTGATTCTTCTTCTCTTACATAGCGTAATCAATGCATTAACGAACTTGGGCACGTTTGTTTATATCACACTTGCCATGAAACGAAGACGACCAGGGCTTCCATACCCAAAACCTTTAATCACATTTGACTCATTAATACTTTACAGTGACACGGTCACAGGAATGTTTTTGATACTCCGAGTCCAGTTATTCTACTGAAATAAAAGGCATTAAAGGTTTTGAGAGAAATACTTGATGTTGCTAATAATCTACTACTGTGGATACTGATGGTCCACACAGAAAGCTCTTTCTGTCCTGTTGATACTGCTGGTCACAGCAGCTACTCCTTATTCAGAGTGGACTACAGTCCCCCTTAGCTGTTCAGCATCTCAGAAGCAGAGCTCTGTCCCTGCCTGTTCTGCAGGAGCTAACGTCTTCAGAGGGGCTTCCACCCAGATTCTAAAGAGACTGTTACAATTATAAATGCATGTTTTTTAGGAGAGGCAATGTTTCATACCAGGTTTTAACGAGCACTGTTGGGGGCCACTAACCCCATGCACGTGCAAATCCAGCAGTTACGTGCCAAAAAGCTGAACTTGAACAAAAAGTCTACAATCTGCAGTCAAATTAGAGTTTTAGCAATGTTATATACCAATATGGGCATGCAAAAATGTAACAAAGAATTGGGGCCACTTTTCAAAATTTGGTCTTACTTGCCTAAGAATAAACAGCAATGGTAAAACTTAATAAAAGGATTTTAGGTAAGGTGAAATATATTTCTAACTCTCCAGTGGCTCACTGGATATTAGGCAAATAGCAGATTTTTCAGAACTCATTCTCAAACTGACCACATTGCCATTTCAGAATAGTATGCTTTCAGACCCATTTTACTCTCTTGTGAACAACTATGGCAGATTTAAGGGAGTAAAGAATCAGGCCCTTAGACTATAATTTATCCATCTGTCCACCAGTTATAATATTCACCCGTATCTACTCCAACTGAGCAGCGAAGCCTAATTAATTAATGTTTCTTAAGCACATTAAAGTATAGGATGAAAAGGCATTGAACAGCAAGTACAATTAATCTGAAATATATTTGGCGGAAACCTCATCAACTAATTTTTAAAATTACACAAAACCAAGATTCACTTTAGAAATAAAGCACTTTGCTGTGTATCTATCCCCTAAGCGGTAAAAATAGAATCTTAAACAAACTTACTTTATTTGTTCTACTTGCACGAGAAAGTCTCTCATGCTGCTCATCTTCCTTAAACACATTTTCTTGCTGGTGTTCTTTTTCTGCATTTAATCTTGAATATTTTTTTTCTTCTAAGGTTTCTTTTTTGCCTTCATGTTTGAATCTCATGACATTACTCTCTATAGTCATTGTTTGTGTAGCTGTGTCTTTCAGTTCCACTTTCAACAATTCGATATCCTTATTAATCTGTGGCGCTGTATCTGGATAAAGCTTCTCTTTCCCATCAACAGTTGACTTCAGTTCTTCTTGCTGCTTTAAGAATTTATTGACCTGCTTGAAATATGTGAGTTCAGTTCTTAGTTGAATAATCATTTGCCTAAGATCTTTTTCATCCTTATTCTCTATTTCTTCAAATGAACATTCTTCCTTAGTTGTGTTCAGATGATCTAACAGTTCACTTACAATTTTCATTTGTTCTTGTCTGCTTTATTCAGAAAGGAAGAAAAAAAAAAGCCTTTTGTTTAAGAAAACAAGAACACTGAAGAAACACTTTTGCAGAGCTTGGACATAACCGTATACTCCTAGGAGATTCCATTTTACCTCCCGATAGATTAGATCACAGGATCTCAAACTGAATCTTGGTATGGACCATGCCAGAATAGAGAGATCACCTTATGGATGATTCCCCTTTCCATTCCTGATCTTGGAGACTACATCCCTTCCTCCCATTCTTGATTAACTAATTAGCCTGTGACAATTACAGCAATTGTTTACCCCAAACAACACAATTTAGGGTCAGTTTTTCAGAAGAGTTTACCCTCCCATTTGGAAACCTTAATGAAGTGGCCATTGAAAACACAGGAACTACTAAATTTTGGACTCTGTTGTGAAAATTTGGCCTTTCAGATACTTCAGCTGTCTTTTAACACAGGGTAGAACTGGAAGCACAGAGAAGCAGCCAGAAGCATGCGCCAAACTAGCTCTGCAGACCCCCATCATATGTGCCACAGATAATCATGGTCCATGGGCCACATTCTGGAAAGCAATGTTTTAAGAGTAAACATAAGTTAAATAAGGGACATTAAATTATACACAAGGCCTCAAATTCCAAGGCTGATTTAATGAGTCCAATAAAGAACTGTTTGAGCCACTACATATATAAACCGGCATTTAAAACAACAGCATTTTTGTATCTGGCATTTGAAATGGAAGATGCTAACTATGCTTTTTATATCTTTTTTTCTGCCATCTAATATCATTAATGAGAATTAAGTTACCCAACAGTGGAGACTCATCACCAGTCAGTCTGGTAATTTATACTAGGACACAGAAAAGATTACACACTAGAGTGCTAAAGATGATGGTGATGGAATTGCTCATTAGCAGACTTTTAAGTAAGGTTAAGAAATAAAACAACATTATATATTCATCTTTTAAGACAGTAATATCTCCTCATCTGCCACTAAGCATTGTCTTGACAACTAAAATCATTTATACTTCTTGGCTGGCTTGAATAATAATGGAGAAGCATAGGACTGGTTGAGTACTTAACTGCAGAAGACAGAACTAGAGCTTTTGTAGCTACACAGAGGCAGAGTAATATCTTGAACAGGTGAAACAGAGATTGGGTCTCGTATTCATGGAACTGCTCAAGGCGCTTTACAGAGAAGATAGGTTGTGTAACTTTCCAGAAGCCCCTGTGGCTACCTGAAGAAATGAGGCTGATGAGTACCAAAAGGAGTCACACTAACCTGCAATCCAGGTCATGATAACCTGGGCAGAACCAATAGAGGAAAAAATAATAGAGGGCTCCACAAAGCAGTGGAGAGGACATAATTCAGTATCCTACAGCCAGATGCTTTAGTCATTTAAGTAAGGAATTATGATGCAAAACTACTTGGTTCCAACTCAACCAGGGACTTGCTGTGTGCGGGTTGCTTAAATTGCTTAGAGCCCCAGTTTCCCCAACTATAAAGTGGGGATAATAATCCTTATCTATTCTACCAGGTGCTGTGAACCTTTATCTGTTGTACTCGTAAAAAGTGTTTTGAAATCCTTAGGTAAAGTGCACTATATTATCAACAGTATCTTTTTACCTCTCTTTCCGGATGGCATGCTGGGGAAGAAATAATTATTTCCAGAAATCTTTTGTCAGTCGATTATCCTGTAGGGCCAACTACAGGCAAAGGATAGCATGGACCGTTCTACATACAATCATGTAAGTGCCTGGAGTAAATTCAAGGCTGTGATTCACTTGAGGAACAATGTTTGAAATGAACTGCACAAGTGCAGACTGAGCTGCCAATGAAGTTCACCTCAGCTCTGAGAGCAAATACAGCCAGAGAACACTTGAGGCCATCTGCTCTTATTCAGAATTGGAATTATTTTTCAAACAAATATAATTTATTTCAAAATACCCTCTCCTAAAACCTTAACCTTTTGTGTTTTTTAAAAAAGATTTAATGCTTGAGCTTAAAAAGCTCATGTTCTGTCATAAAGAAACTACAGCTCTAAACTTCCTTTTTCAATGATGTCAATAAAAACAAGCACTCCCACAAGCAAACCGGGTAAGCTTCACAGTCAAGCTATGGGAGAGGGAGGGCTTTTGTAGCAAAAGGCTTTACTTTATCTCCCACTTTACTCGCTTTCAACCCAGAGCCACAGAAGCTAAGGAAATCCCATTTTTTAAGAGGCAAGGAGACTGAGAATCAAGACTGCTGAAGGTTATAAGCAGCTCTGCAACTGCTGTATGACCTTGGGCAGGTCATTTCTTGCTTCCTCAGCAAACCACACTATAAGTTGTTATGCTACCTACCCAGCTTAGATGGGTGTTATGAGGTAGCCTTTAGTCCTACAAACTAATCTCAGCAGGCAGAGAGCACCAATTTCAAACGGACCGTGTCTGAAAACAAGCATCTCTTGAAACAGGTCAGATTGCAAGACTGCTCCCAAGCACACCATTTGAACATGCACCTAGGACTGCAGCACACTGAGCTGGGTCAGAGCAGCCCTGGCCAGCAGGGGATTCAGGGGGCCAGCCCGCCAGCCCAAGGCCACTCCCCCAGGCTTAATGTGCTGCGGAGGGTCTGGCTGCAGCACAAGAGTGCTCCAGGGCAGGGCTAGCCAACAGGCAGCCCCCGCCCTGAAGCATCCTCATGTCCCAGCCAGCCAGCCAGGGCAGCATCTACATATGCAATGCTGCAGAGAAAAAAAACTCTGCAGTGGAACAGTACTTGTATTTAGAGTTAATTAGTTTACTCCAGCCTAATAGGGATGCAGGTGTAGATATAAAATGTTTACTGTTGAGCTAATTAGTATATTCTGCAGTAAATGTCTTGTGTAGACAGACTTTCAAATACCTGGATTCAAAAAAAAAAAAAGTGAAAAGCATTATTTTTCCCCACTTTATTCCTACTAGTCCTTCAGCCTGAAGAAGATCAGTTTCTACAGTGTGGCTCTATACACAGATACCTTTGGAGAAACTTCTCTTGAAATGGATTTTTCATAAGGATTTTTTCTACTGATAGTATGTTTCCTAATTACTTAATTGCATGATAGACTGAAATGGTTCTGAAGGAGCCTTGCCAATCTCTCAGGTAAATTAGACAGTGACATTATCTAAATTCACTTTAGCAAAATTACTTTATTCTCTCCTCAAATAGAAATACTGTCAGAAGCAGTGTATAACCCTCATGCTTACCTAGATTCAAGTACAGATGTTCCATTTTCATTTAAAAGAGATGTGAACAGGCTCATCTCCGCTGCTTCATGTTCGCTCATCTCTATTCTGCCAAAGTGTTTGCCAGCTCTATCATGTTCAACCTGAGGCTTATTTAGATTCCTATAATGTCTATCTTTGCAGAAACCCTCTGAAATGTCTGCAGGAGTTATCTGTTAAAAAAATTGCAAATATTTTCTTATTAGGCAGGTATGCGGGATTCTATTATGTTCAGGCCTGTAATCTTCTTGTAATCAGGTTTTGTAATTTTTGATGGTCTTAATCTACATTATAAAGCATACACAGACATTCTGCTTACTGTTTATTAATATAAAAACTAACGAACATCACATTGGATACGGTTAATTCATACAGACCAGCTGTTTACCAGTTAGTAGATTTCCCTGAAGGAATGACATTCCTGGGAGGTGGCCTCTGACTGGCAGCCAGCTCCATGACGGGGTCTTATTTGAATCACCTGTCTTTCAGAATTAAATTGTGCTCTCAGATGCTAGGTACAAACCCTTCTTGTAGGGGAACAGTCCCTCTACACAGGGCATTTATACACATACTTTTCTGTCCTACAAAGCACCAGAGATCTGCTGTTTTGAAGCAGACTCGATTAATCGACACGCAAGCTAAGGCAAACTGTACTGTGCCGTGTGCAGTAGTATAAGTGGAGAAATTTGCAACAGCATGCAGAAAATGGTGGCGGTGCATTTTTGAACTAAAGCACCTCCAACATGTTTTAGTTCAAAAACGCAATACAGCCGTTTTCTCAATTTCGTCACTTAGCACTGCAACGCTTGCAGTTGTATAAAAGTGCTTTTCAAAGCACTCAGCAGTGCTAGAGTCTCCACTCGTTCATGCTGTCAGTCCAGCTTTTATCACTAGCCACAAAACCATGAAAAGCAACAAGTGCCATTAGACTACATCGATCACCAATCCAAATGAGATCTATAAAAGACTTCTCCAAACTTCCATCTCCAATTCCTCTCCATTCAACAGAGTCCATGTAGATGTGTAGACAAAGGGTCATTGTGAATCTGCCGGGGCACTTTATTTACAGCACTCAGCAAAAATGGAGCGAATAAGAGTTAGAGATTTGGTTCCATGAGTCCTCAGGGTATGAGAAAGGAAAAAATGACAAGTATTAGATAGCCTTCCATAACTACAGTCTCTCAAAAAAGGCACCGTCAAAACCTCACTCATTTAAAATGGCCCTGCATTTTACTAGGCATGGCACAAACTACACTTAGGATCGGCAGGGGCAGCTCTATTATTCTCTATATAAATAACCTCCACAGATGAAGAGCATACCTATGGAGCATGATGCAACTTCCATTTACATCAATGGTAGTTCTTCCATGGGTTACATTAGGGTTTAGACTGCGCTCGTTTGAATTTACTGACTCAGGAGACATCGTCAGTGAGAAACTTAAAAGTGTGTATTATAAGCTTGTAAACATAACTGAGAGACTATTTATACTGCATCATTTACAGGCTTGTAGAGATCAAGATGATGCTTCAAAGACAACTGAGAGTGTACCTAGGTAAATATGGATATGGAGAAATTACAGACTTTAAAACACATCTCACAGTATTCTTTTAACTGATAATTTTGAAAAGAAAAGGTAAGTTTGCATTTGGTTTTAAGCATTTTCCATGATATAACATCTCTCTTTTTAATGACACATAAGGGGATGGCATATTCTAGGACTGAATACGAGTGCAGGTTCTTCCAGTGATTCACTATGTAATTGTTTGAACCCTGAACAAGGATACTCAATTATTTTTGCTCAGAGATGACAGCAGATGGATATTACTACCTCCAGCCACACTATGAACCTGATTGCAATGGCCACCTATTTTAAGGGGCTTTACTTTAAGGCCCTGTAGGACTGGTTGAGTTCCTCTCTGATACAGCAAGAAAAAGGACTGAGGCAGGGATTTCTGAGTATTCATACTAAGGATTAAGTCAAATACCAAGAAACAGTTAAGTATGCATGATGTCAAGACATACTACATTCACAGTAAAGACGGACTCCACCTATTTATAGAGAGCTTCAGAGGCTAGTCTTGCAAACTAGAAATACAGCAAGAAGAAATGCCTCTTGAATATATCAAGTTAAATAGCTGTAATTGTGCAACCAAAGCATGTAGCCCACTAGTAAAAATTTTATACAATCTTTTTGATACGATCCTACCTCACTGGTCTTCTCAGAAGGCTGACAGCTCTGTGTATGCTTATCATTTTGAAAATCTTCAGCTGGCATCATGGTCTCTTCTGTTCTTTCAAGAAACTATATAAAGTATGGAATGATGTGAAAACGGAGCACAAAAAAAAGCATGGTATGAAATGTGCATAAATAAATAAGTGCATAAAGACACATCTTTTAAGACATGTCTTAAAAGAAAACTAAAAAATGCCTGTAATACAAAGTAACAAACAGTAGATTAGCTTTCTCCACTAAGATCAAAAAGGAATCAATATAAAGAACAGGAATAATTCATACTGGGTACACAAAAATGTGAATTTCTTGTGTTGACTCACCACTGCACATCCCTCTGAATTTTACAAAATTTCTCCTTTTATCCCTTTCTGCAACAACCCATGCCCAAAGCCATATTCTCATTGCATCTATTTTATTTTGCCTTTTAAAATATCTTTTATAGCCTAACATTTTATGCTTTTCTTCAGTAGACATGAAAAAGACACTTTGCTAAGCTGTCTGCTATAACAATAAAGACAATTATTATTGCTCTGAAGGTTAAGTTCTGCCTTGTGTTACGTGGACTTGTCAGGGAAGGCGATGATACCAGAATCATCTTTCCCCAATTCCCCACCATCAAAAGAAGTCAGGGAACGTGATGCCACAAACACTCCTGGAGCAGGGAAAAGGAAGAAAGAGCCACTAACTAGCGTGTCCAGTAGCACTCCAAGCCTCACTAGAAGCACAGGAAGGGATTGGACTTTCTGAAGCAGCAGTGAAGGTGTTGTTGAGTGCACATCACCTCCGGGCATAACAGCATGGGTACTGTTTGCCTCTCCTCGACAGTTCAGCTCCCACAACCAGTGTGCTTCTCGCAAAAGAAGTCAGAATTTAACCCTCTCTGTAGAGGCAGCTAAAATTGTTCAAATAAAAACAACACTAATTAACAATTGATTGCTCTGATTATATTACGGGGCCGCATTCTGGAAAAGGCTCTGAACATAGACAACGCTTCGAAAACCTTCACACAGCAGCTGGAGAGCAAAAGAGAATTGTCTACCCCTCAATTTGGCTCCCTGACAACTCCCAGAGTAGCAGGTCCACTATTCTTCTGTGCTCGATGCCTCCGAGTGGGATTCCAGGCAGAGGGCTCAAGTCTGTGTTTTTGTTCACTAACAACAAAGCATGTTTTTAATTCATAAACCCCCACACCATTTATTCACATTCTGGGCTAAAATGGGGTGTTGGAAGAGAAAATGAAGCCATTGCTAAGCAGATTATAAATGCAGCTTTATATGGCTTTAGCAAGACACACAGCAAATTTTGTGGGCATTTCAGCAGTGAACAAGAATTTGATCTACAATATGTATACACAGAATCTCATTCTTATCTAAGGCACCACCTCTCAACTCAATAAAGAGATATTTGTTTAGGACCTTTGGTGATAGAAGCTCATTAAGAAATCGAAGTGAGATGGAAGAGAATTGCTTACCCACAAACAAACATTTTTTGAAGGTAGTAATGTCTGTCTTATCCAGGGGTGGGCAAAATATGGCACGCGGGCCGGATCTGACCCATGGCGGGTCCCTTCGTCTCCTGGCCCAGGCACAATCCAGCCGTGGAGTGTGTTGCCACCCCGTGGGCATACAGTGGGGCTGGGGCAACTCTGCAGCGGGTCTGCCTTTCTAGGCAGCACAAGTAGCAGGTAGTTTCTACTGGTTGCTGCCACTGCCAGCCCCACAGGATCAGCAGGGACCCACGCTGCACAGCCCTGACGCTGCACATGCTCCAGGCTTGCTCGCCCAGGCTGAGAAGCGGCAGTGCAAGACAGAAACTGTGGCTCAGTGCCGGGAGGAAGCCCAGAGCCCGTGTGGCACTACTCTGCATCTGCTCTGCGCTGTCACTGCTGCTCCGCAGGGTGGCCGCAAGGCAGCAGTGATGGCAGTGGAGATGCAGGGCAGCCCGGCATGGGCTCCAGGCAGCTGCACCAGGAAACACTGGCAGTGGGAAGGGAAGGGGCTGTTTTCCCCCTGTGCTGAGCAGCAGCTTCTGTCTTGTGCTACCACTGCTGAGCCTGGACAGGCGAGCCCAGAGCAGGCACAGGGTGCATGGGGTCAGGGCTGTACAGCACAGATCCCCACCAGTACTGCAGAGCTGGGGTCAGTGGCAGTCAGGAGGAGCTACCTGCCACCTGGGCTGCCTAGAAAGGCAGTCCTGCTGCCGAGCTGCCCCAAACCTGCTGCATGCCCAGGGGCAGCGGGATGTGCCACGGGTGGGCAGTGCAGAGCTGGCACGGGGTTGAGGGGCCAGGTTGGGGCTGCGCATGGGTTCCAGCTGATCCGCTCTGCTCTTGCCAGAGCCAGTAGATGCCCTGAAGGCAACACCGTTAGAAGAGTGTCTCTAACAGCCAAGTCCTTTCTTAGGGTAGGCTAAGGAAACATGGCCCTAACTCTAATAAAAAATTTTAAAAAAGAAAAAGCAGAAACTTCAGCAGGGTCAGAAAAGCATCAGAGTTGAGAATGTGCACAATAAGCACCTGAGCTGATGCACTAGACAAAAAGGAAGCGGTGACCAAGGGAGTGGGTGTAATAATTGTAACCTGACTTCATGCAAAACGTAATTCTAATGATTCTGAGAAGATAGAAAACTTCTCTCCCAATATCACACCATATCAAGGCATGGGGACCCCGTCTCAAAGAATTCTGAGGATGTAGTGGGGACTAGTACGTTTTGTCTTCTAAACGTATTGGATTAGAGTATTAGTGGGTTCCTTTCTTACTGTATATTTCTGTAACGTGCATGTGTGTTGTAAGCGAATGAAAAACTCAGGTTTACCTTGTACCTTCTAGCAGTGTAAGACCCTCCACTGGTTTAAATATAAGTTTTAAAAAAATGCAGAACAAAGGGGAAGCTAGGTGCTAGCTATTAGCTTATTTGCCCTTTCAAATTTTGCTTAAGATTAATATTTGAATTTTTTTTGGGGGGGGGGGTTTACTAAAATACAGATTTTCCAGCCTACTAAAAAACTGAGATGGAGTGCCAAAACTAGGATAGCAGGGAGGCTACAGATCCGGACTGTGGTGAACTGGCAAAGATCCGTATTAGAAAAGCCCATACTTTGATCATAGCCATTGATTTCATGAGTAACACGGAGTTTACTCACAAATTACTTTAGACAGAAAAAAGAAAGATATTAGCCATTTATCACATTCAAAACAAGACTGTAGCCCAAGCTTATTTTTTTAAAGCAAATTAAACCATCACATGCACATATCGACTGCCAAGTGCTTGTGGTTGAAACCCCACAACCACTAGTTTTTTTTAAGATTTTAACATTGTTCTGGTGCATCCCCTTTTTCAGACCAGTATCCAGTTTCATAAACAGTGCTCGTCACAATGAAGCAACTGACGCAAGGTTCAGAAGACTGTACAGTACATCACTGCAGCAATGGGCTGCAATTTGAATTTTTTGCTCATCAAGTCTTTGAGGTTGAAAAGAAAACTTTCTGTGCTCCAAGGAATACAATCTAATGTTCAACAAAATATTAAAAGAAAATAAGTGGCTTAAGGCCAGAAGGAAATCTATTGAGAATAAGCTGCCTATTTAAAATATTTCCTTGGAGACTGAAAACCTTGAGAATGTTTTTCCTAAATGAACCACTGATACGCTTGGTTTGCAAAGATCCCTGGAGCCTTGAAGGCTGGAATCAGTGAGGCTGCTTCTCTCAGAGAAAGCAGTTGTTCAGAGGACAGTGCAAAAACAACCTTTTTATCCCTCCCTCCCTCCCTTTAATTTAAGAACCAAGAAACAAACTATTAAAGTCTGTCAGGCCTTTGGGAGATGCTTTGCAGGGGCACCCAAGTGCAGACTTCTCTGGCTTGCACTCCAGCTTTGTTAAAATGCACGAGCCTTTCTTTTCTTTAAGAAGCACCTGAGCGGGTTCTACCTTGTTGCATCCTACCCAGTTTCACTTGGAGGATGCTGACAGGTAGGCCTGTGTGAAGCAGCTAGTATCCATTTCAGATTCAGATTTGGACGATTTGGGGGACAGTCATTCGATTCAATGATTCGAATGATTGTCCCCAATCGATTCAGCCAAATCTGATTCAGAGATTCAGCCGTTGCCGAATCTCCAAATCGGACAGGCTCCATCCCCCACCCGCTCTCTCAGCCCCATCAATGGCTGCCCCACCTGGCCCCAGCTTCCGGCTCTTTAAAAAAACCAAAAAAACAAAAAAGCCCCAGACTTACCAGCTCCTGCCAGGCAGTGGAGTGATCCCCATGGCATCCCACTGTTCCACGCTGCATGGGGGGGCTCTTCCATGAGCCCCCAGAGGCCCCGGGTCTGCTGCAGCAGCCAGTGAGTGGGGACTTTTTTTTTTTAAGCATCGGGAGCAGGGGGCGAGGCAGGGCAGCCATGGGAGGGGCTGGGAGAGCAGGCGGGATCGGGGGTGCTCAGGAGGGCTGGGGGAGCAGGCAGGGGATGGAGCCTGATGAGGGTCCCCCCGTGGTCTCCTTCCCTCTCCTCCAGCCCCCCCTTCCCCAGTCCTACCCCCTACTTACCAGCACAGAGTCTGGGTCTAGCTCCCTGTGGCAGCAAGTGGGGACTGCCCCAATCTCTGGAGTTCTCTGAATCTTTTCAGACCTTTTTACTGGTCTCCTGACTCGATGCAGATTCAGAGATTTGGCACCTGAATCAGACCGTATCACCTCCGAATCGAATCAGCACCCGAAGCTTCGCACAGCCCTACTGACTGGTGTCCTCTTAGCAACCCATGCCAACACATTCTAGTGTGGTACCAAGAGAAGAAGAATTCAATATTTTCTGCACTGACTTTCAATTTCCAAAGTGCACCCATCGTAACCCAGAGCCAGAAAACCATGAAACGGGCTGTTTACTGCCAGGATTAATGATATAGTACCTTTAAAACTAAAGGATTAGATTGCTGAGCCTTTAACTTTTGAGTTCAATAGCACCTTAATCATTCTGGCGCAGCTTTGAATATCATGTTTTATTTGCCTCCTGACTTTACCAGAAATCGTGGCTTTCATTCACAGGTTATTTTACAAATTTCACTCTTGGCTGTTCGAAAGCTGGGTCCATGTAAATAATTCTTTACTGAATAGCCTTGCATGTTCCAATCACAGCAAGACAAGAGCAGGAAGGTGCAATATTCTTGCCTTGATGTTCTCAGTGCAATGCCTTGATACCTCTGGAATCTGTGAGGGCACAGCAGCCTCTACAGGACTGCTAGGCAAATTGCTAGTAATATTCACATAGGCATCCTGCATACACTTTCTGCAACACAGATTTATGTACTACATTTTCAGTGCTAACCTAGTCTATAAATCTGTAACTTAACTATTTTAAGATATTGGACGTTATCCCAACGGGCCAAAAAAAACTCCTTCAATCTATAATTAAAATATATGTGTAAAAGTAACATGAAAGGCCTGACTTGAATCCAGAAAAGCAAAAACATTTTGTATGAATTTTGACAATGGTCTTTATCCCATCTGGAGTACATATGATAAACTGCATCCTGATTTGGCCACAGGCTTCTGCAGCATCCAGTCAATACAAAACCTACACACAACTAAATTAAATTATTTCATCATGTCATTGTCCTGTTCTTCACCACTTAAGCCTGATTTAGACATTCAGTACAAAAAGTAAAGGTGGTGAGCTTTTTCTCTTTATGCTTGATCTCATTATCATTTAGTGAGTAGTGCATAGGAAAATAACATTAAAAAACAAAAGGTGCTAGCCACCACATTTAAAGTAACAGTCACAACAAGCCATAAAGGTGCACTGGACATCTACATTACTCCACTGAAGTACTACCATCACGTAGCATGTGACATGGAGGGATGCACCTAGAAATCTGTCCATAAATCTGTGGAGCTTCTTTGCAGTGGCTTCTTCAGCTCCACTGCTGAAATTGTCATTGTGCATCTTAGCCACAAGGAAAACAATAGAGGATCCAAGCATCAGTAAATACAACGGTCCCTTTCTTGCGTCTCTCCCATTTGACTAGGCCACAATACTGCCCCTCCATTTTACACTGCTCTGTGTTGCACAGGATGGGTGCACAGATGCCTAAAGCGTTGTTCTCTCTCCTTTGTGCATAGTGCAACCGCACCACTTCTGAATGACAGAGAACCTTTGTGGCCTCAGAAGTGACAGCTATGTACAAAGCTTTCATAGGACTACACACCACTCTGGGAATGAATCTCAACCTGTGGGATTTACAAGTAGCAGTAACTAAAGGACGTCTATATTTTATGGAGCTGTACCTTCTTTGAAAAATAAAATTAACTCCATGTTGCAAATATAAAAAAAACACAATCCCAATTGATATCTTAATATATGTGCTGCTTTCTTAAAATAATTTAAAATATTGTTGACTATAAAATATGCTGGTCTTGACTCTCACAGTGTCTAACCTCATACAGCCATTTACATCTTTTAAAAGAGTAATTATAGAACAATATCAGTCTGACCTAGCAGGGTTTCACATCCACTTGGTACCCATGTAAATGATTGTGCGAGATGTGCTGGAGCTGAAATTCAGGTCCAGTGATTCAGCACAGAGATCCTACCTCACTCTGGTTAAATATTTTCAGAGTTTCTTCTCCCCAAGAATCAAATCTGGAGAATCCAAGTTGTTCTTTCTTCAGATCTTGATTAATTGACTGCAGGTCCTTTACCACTGACAGGAGCTCAGTAACCTAAAAAAACAGAAGAAACAAACAATCAGAAAAGATAAAGTTCATCCTAATGTGTAAAGAAATACAGCGCGAGAAACATCTTTCTGTAAAGCTACACAAAGTGTTAAACTTCAGAACTGTCGTGTTCGTTACTTCCAATAAACCTTAATGCTTCTGTCTCTGCCCAAGGGACTGTATATGTTTGAAACCAGCTCAGTTATATAATATATTAGGAACTTGTGCTCAAGGAATGCTAATTTGGAGGACTATAGTTTCAACTTCAATCATTAGGTTCAGGTTCCATAAATCACTTATAAGATAAAAAAAGTCACGGCCTGTCATACCAGCAGACTGATTTGGGAAGCAGTATTCAGTGCAAGCAGGAGTTGTATTATTAGGACAGGACAGCAGCATTCACCAAGAAATATTAAAAAAAATCAGAAGTCTCATTTTCTCTCTCATACCCTTTAAATGCCATTGTGGATAGCACTGGTACAAAAGTAGTATACCAGAGTGGCGAATCCAATCTAAAACGCTTTAAGTCATTAGCCTCCAAGACTCACATAGTGTATCAGTTTCTGCTAATGAGCGCGCCTAAATTTAGATAGGTGACTATAAATCAAATAAAAGCAGGCACAGTCTGAGCATAGCACTAAGAGTCAATCTGGATGCTGCCACGGGCTTCCTGCTTGAAGTAGGGCAAGTCATTTTTTTTTGTTTTCAGTTTACTCATCCTAAAGGTAAATCTCACATTCACCTGAAGTCAGACATGAATGACAGGAAACCATTGACAGATATCTGACAAAGGGCTTTAATACCAAAAATGATCTTTATGATGAAACTGTGGATGCATAACTAGCTAAATGCTAAAGCATGTGATGAGAAGTAAGGAGATAAGGATTCTACACCATGACAGTTACTTGATGTGCAACCGTGGGCAAATCTAACTTGCGTTGTCTTAGTTTCTCCTTTTGCAGTACTGGGGTAAATTAATTTAGCTCATGGGATGCCATACAACATATCAAGTTTATTAAAGGCCATTTAGAACCTTTGTCTGAAATACACTATATCAGAGTGTCAAACATACAGCCTGCAGGATGGATCTGGCCTGTGAAGTTGCTCAATCTGGCCTGCCAGGCTTCCAACAGTCCACCAGAAATTGGGGGGAGGGGGGGTGGCAGTGGCCTGTTGCATGATCTGGTGCCCTTGGGTCCCAGTACGCACAGTGATCCATGGCCAGAGCATAAGCAAGAGCTGATACTGTCCCAGTCACCCTCTAGCCACCCCACTTGCCATCACCGGCCCCACTGCCACTGCAATCGCTGCATGCCCTCTGCCCTATGTCAGTCAGAACTGTCATCGCCTTGTTCCCTGTGCCAAAACCAGTGCTGCTGCTGCCACACCAGGCACATGGCAGTGACACTAGCTCCAGCTCCAGCATGGGGCACATCAAATGGTGGGAACCAGGGCTGCCACCGCCACAACCACATGCACTGGGCCAGACCTGGAGCAACCACTGCTGCCAGAGCCATCTGCAGGCTGGATCTGGCCCACAAGGAGCCCTGAGGTTCAGATCTGGCCTGGGCCACAAGGCGAATTTGATACCCCTGCACTGTAGCAATGCAAATCACAAAACTACCAACTTCAGTATTATTGAGGATAGTAAGTCCTTGGTAATGTGTTTTTTAGAAATCTCACAGACACTAACTATTATTTGGAATCAATAATTTTGATACTGAAGGAATACATTACTGGGTCTCAAGTTTGGATCCAGATGTCTCAGTATAATAAAACTTTTTCTGCAACTTGGCTGTCTTTCAGCCAAGCCTGAAACTCGTATATTGTAACAAAAAAGTCTACAAAAAAGGGGATCACAAACTACACACACAAGAATTTTTAAATCCTTTCAGAATATCCCAACTCTATGTAAAAGATCAAAATGTTTCAGAGAGAGAGAAACAAATTGTAAATGTAGGAGAATTAAGTGATTAAAACATTAAATAATAAAAACACAACAATACCTTTTTTTTCAGTTCTTCAAGAGACAGATGGTCTACCTGTAGGCTTAAAAGACTGTGCTCTCCTAGGCAAATACTCATATAAGACGTCTGATCTCCACAATAAGATAAGGTTTCCTCTGTCAAAGTAAGCAAGGGCCAGTATTATTTCAGAAACATTACTCCTTTGTAATGCATAAAAATGCTAAAAAAGGACTTTTAAAATAAGTATCTACTATTAAGACTGCAAAGAAATGTTTCATCTTCCTTACTAAGCTTTTCTGTTTAATTGAAAGAACTTTCCCCTTCCATTTCTTTGTGCTTGTGACATCCAGACATGCTATATGTTCTGTGGTTATCAGCATGCTTTGTGAATCTAATTCTGAATTATAATTTGCATATTTAGCATTACATTTAGAAATAATTTTCAGGGAGGATAAGTAAGGCATGAATAGTTATTCTGTTTTAGCCAGAATTTCAAGCAAATGAACTCTATGTCTCAAGGGTAAAAGCCAGGTTAAATAAAGATACTGAATTTTATGTTGCTGTTGGCTCAACCGGCTATATCAACTGAACAGACAACAGCTGCTGCTTCTTTTCCTTTGCAATTACAGTAAATACCTGTTTCACTTGTTTGTATAAGCACCTGTTCATTTCTAACACGGATTACAAACCATACACATTTGAGTTCTATTTAGCCCTCAGACACTGGGCCTGGGGCAGTTGAGTTGCACTGTATTCAAGTGGCTGGGTGCCCCACTAGAGAGAGAATAACCTCTGAGAATTAGACCCAAGACTACTCCAAGCTCTTTTTTAGCTTCATTATTTCTGAAAAAATCAGGCCCTATGGGTCTTAAGCTTGACACCCTGAAATGGAGACAACCAAAATCTGTGGCCACATTAAAAAATGTGAGCCTTAAGCTCTCTGTCTCAGGTCTGTATAATGGACAATAACGATAATGCCCATGCATTTATGCCTATCAGTTCCCTGTGGAAGAAAGGTAGACAAGTTTGTGTACATTCAGAATACCATTTTCAAAGAAAACAGCTCATATTCTTCTTTCTTTACAGGTAAGTATCTGCTAACAGTCGCTTCTCAGAGATATATTAGAAACATTAATGCTATATATATTAAAAAGCTGTATCATGCTTGAAGTAAATTACAATGTAATAAAACTGTTGATTATTTTCTTTTTCTTCTGAAAATGCATGTCCTATTAGGAAGAACCCATCCATTTCTCTAGACATTGACTGCTTATCAAAGTATTGTGAAAGAATCAGATTCCATGTCCAGGAAGTGATCCCATGGTCACAGATTTATTCAAAGCCAGGGATCCTTGACTTCTGCAGAAAACAGTAAATTCTGAGAGTATGGAGCTGGAGGCAGCTTGAAATGATCACTGCAGCAGAATTGCCACAGAATTACTAACATTTGTTGCTGCAGGGGAAGAGAAAAGCTTTCCTCCTGTATATCCTTGACTGCTTAAAGCCATCCAGTTACAAATCCCCCAAATGATCTTTACTACAAGAAAAAAGACAAGAGATCTTTTCACACACCTTTATCTACTTTCCAAGTTTTCAATGCATTTGCTATAAACCGAGTGCAATAGAAGCAGTTAAGATAAAGGAAAGGGCCATGTTCCTAAAGATATACAGACCTCCTTTGTTTTTTATTTCCTTAATTTGATCCTCCAGGACTTTCCGCAGATTCCGATTAGCTAAAATATCTTCCTCCAGTTGTTTTCGCAACAAAAAAATGTTGTTCAATTCTGCCTGCAGACTATTTATACTAAACACAAGGAAAGAATCAGAAATTTTAACAGACACCTTTTAGGTTTCAACTCACACATTCAAAACATTTTGCTGGGTACCTCAGCATCTTTTATACATCAAGGTTTCCATAAAGAGCCCATTCCACAGTAGCAATTGCAGTTTTTCATCACATACTTATATCATCTTGATGCATAGAATAAACAAATACCTACATAGCAAGATGAAAATAAACCTTTATGTATATGCCTCCTTTCTAGATGTTTTGAGGACTGTTACTTGTAAGTCAACTTGAGCATGATAGATATATTCTGCTGGCCAACTTCTGCATAATTCTTTTTCAGGAAAATCAAAATGACTAGCTTATGAAAAGTATGTCAAAAAACAGCATTACTGTGTTATATTGATGGCTCGCTGTGTTTCATCATATTGTGGCCATGGAAATGGTGTCCCCTTGCCACAGAATCATACTATAAAATTTAAGCCATCATTTTTTTTTAAAATTACGTTTCTGTTCCTTAGGGCTAAAAGATAACTCTGAAGACACGAACTAAATGTAAACTGATAGTGCTTTCTTTCTCAGTCTACAGACAGATCAAAAAAAATCACTTCAAGTCTAAATTGTCCCATTTATCTTAATGGGGTGTTAATTCCAAAACCTAAAAAATGGCAGTTTAAGTATCAACATTAACTAATTTGTTGAGCATTTTAGCTGAAACATCACCCTAACATGCTTCTTCTAGAATCCCAGACTGCCTCCTAAGTGCCAATATAGCCAGCTGTCCCCTACCTCACTGACAGAAACCTGCAGTTTCTCCCCTACCCCTCAGCAACTTTTACAGAGCAGTTATCAACAGTCAATCAGAAGGCCTCAAGCACACTGAAAACAGAATAGCATAGAAGAAATAAAATTTAATATTAAGACAAAAAAGGTGTTGTGGCACTGACTTACTTATCTATTTTCATATTTAATTCATTCCAAATCAATACAAATGAAGCTGCTGCACAATTTCCAACCTACTCCACAATTGTGCCTGAGAATCCCAGAATTTTTTTTCAAGAGTTCAGGTCCAGTTTATTGGAGATTATATCAGAGCACGTATCAAATAAATAAAATTGTTCTTTCAGCTAAAGTTATGCTATTAAGAATATATGAATAAAAAGATTCCCATTCCGTCTTGTGAAAGAATAATAAGGAGACTGCTGTTAGGATTTATTTTACAACTACTGCTTTAACCAACTGTCCCTTGCTCAAGAATATCTTCAAAAGAGAAAGGTCTTGATACTATTTAAAGCTCAGAAAAAAAGAACATGCTTCTAAAAGCTAAGTAAGCACACCTCCTTCTCATAACAACTTAATGAATTAACTAGAAGAAACATTGATTCCCTGCTGTGGAGAGACAAGAGATGTCTTGGTACTGGCCCCGAACAAGAAAATGTAATTGTTCAAATGGTTTGGAATAAATAATACCTTTAAAAAAAGAGAGATACCAATAGAACTCAGGATATTTTCTTTATCAAAAAATTTGATAATGATGGTCATTAGATGACTAAGTTATCTGCAGGACTTGTTTATCAGCCCACTGGCTCTACCACCACCTCATTCTGTGATCTGTAAATCATTTTGTCTCAGCAGAATCAGAGCCATAATCTGTTCTTTCTAGATTAGGATATGGTAGCTCAATCTCAAGTCAACAGGAAAACTATTGGCTTGAATGGTGCAGGACTGGGACCCATGATGTTTCTTTTTTGTATGACACTTTGAGATGTATGAATAAAAGATGCCCCAGAGCTGATTAATAGGTGTTGTTCTTGTTACTGCAAGATACTGGCATGAAATCCTGATATTGCAGTGTGGCAGAGCACCGCTGGGGTGCTCACCACTTGGAGGGCTGGTGCAGGCTGCAGAGGAGAAACCTATAAGGGTAGCAGCACAGAGCCACCCCCCTTGGAAGGATTCTAAGGTGGGGAAGTGTGTGGCAGCACACCTGTGGGTGCTTGCCACTTTAAGGGCCTTAGCAGGCTGTGAAGCAGCCTGCAGGTGACTGCGGAGCCAATTAGACGGTCACATGACAGCCACCAGACCACCTGATTGGAGCTGGGCTGTAGAGCCTCAGCATAAGAGCCGGCCCTGAGGGGGTAGAGCTGACAGTTGTTGTTGGGATGCTGCTAAAATAACATCATTATCTTGGGATCTGCTGCTCTCAGGAATATCTGGAGGTCTAAGGTAGGACCTATGGAGGTAGGGCCAGAGCCTAAAGAGGCTGAAAGTCCCTTTGATTGGGGGAAGGGACACAAAGGACATCACTGTCTAAGAGAGGACAGGCATTCAGCTGACCAGCAAGCTGTAATGATGGAGGTGGAAGCTGGATAGGAGGCGTCTGATAAGGGGTCTAAGTGAGATGGGGACAGTAAGAGGAAGCCTTGAAATGGAAGCTGCAACAGAGGGCCCAGAAAAGTGAGAACAGCTCAGCAGGAAAACAGGGAAGGCCCAGAGGGGTGAAGAAAGACCAAGGCCTAAATCAAAGAGTGGTCTAATGACAGGCTGAGAGTGAAGTCCAGGTATGTCTATAGATACCTCAGTAGGCTGAGTGTGGGGTCTAGGCACATCTACAGACACCTGAGGCCCATGTGTTGTAAGGCTGCGTAGCCCCAGTGAGGGGTGGAATAGCAACTCTAGGGAGAGGTGGAGTGGAGGGGCTAGAAGCCTGCATATAGCCCAAAGTACATGTGGGAGTAGAGGCCCCAGTGAGGGGGCTCACAGCCAAGATAAGTCTCTGGATGCCTGAGGCCGAGTATGGCCCAGCAATAGGGCCAGGGGAATTAGGAGTGATTTGGATGCCTTCTGCGAGGCATGGGACATGGTAAAAGGGAAGCTGAAGCTGTGTATAATACCCTAGGCATCAAGGCATTAAATGGGCAACAAAAAGCCCTTCTGAGCTCCTAAATGAATACTTCATGTGGGTATTTCAGAAAGCTAATAGGAGTTGGGCATCTGTCCAGAAGCCCAGAGAACCCAGGAAAGCCTACAGACAACATGAAAATCAGTCCTGAACAGGTGAGGGCCCTCTTAGAAAAATTGGATGTTTTCAAGTCCGCTGGGCCAGATGACCTACATCCAAGAATCCTGAAAGAACTAGCTGAACTCGTAGCCCGGCCCTTTGTGAAGATATTCAAGAAGTCATGGAATTTGGAGGTGGTCCCAGACAACTGGAAGAGGGCCAACGTGGTGCCCATCTTTAAGAAAGGGAGGAGGGATGATCCCGCAAACTACAGACCAGTCAATTTGACTTCGGTCCTTGGAAAAACATTTGAAAAAACTGTTAAAGAAGCCATCAATCACAAGCTTGTAACTGACAGGGTATTAAGAAGCAACCGGCATAGCTTTATGGAGGGTAGATCATGACTGACAAACCTGATGTCCTTTTACGACCAGGTAACTAACCAGCTGGACAAGGGTCATGAGGTAGACATCGTTTATTTAGATTTCAGTAAGGCCTTTGATTCTGTCTCCCATAAAATCATCTCAGTCAAACTGAAGGGTACTGGCCTAGACCAGCCTACCATCAGGTGGATGGATAACTTGCTTAAAGGCTGGTCCCAGAGAGCTGTAACTGATGGGATGGCCTCATCCTGGAGGACTGTCGCCAGTGGTGTCCCACAGGGATCAGTACTTGGACCCATGCTTTTTAACATATTTATTAATGACTTGGATGATTAAGTCTGCAGATGACACCAAGCTGTGGGGATATGCGGGCACACCAGAGGATAGCATAAAGATCCAGGACGACCTTAGCAGACTGGTTTTACGGGCTGACTGGAATCAGATGAGGTTCAACAGGGAAAAGCGCTGGGTCCTTCACCTGGGTAGGAAGAACCTTCACGACAACTATATGATAGGTGGTAACCCACTGGCTGGCACAGCATCTGAATGGGACCTGGGGATCACAACTGACCAGAAGATGAATATAAGCCAACGGTGTGAAGAAGTCGCCATCCGTGCAAACAAATATGTCACCTAACAAATATGTCAGAGGGGAACACCAGGATCTTGGGAAGCAACTCTTCAAGAAGGCACCCCTTGGGAGGATGAGGACCAATGGTCACAAACTAATAGAGGGAAGATTTAGTCTGGCCATATGGAAGAACTTCTTCGCCATAAGGGTAACTGGAACCTGGAACACACTCCCAGCAGACACGGTGCAGTCACCATCCTTCAAGGTGCCTAAGAGGAGGCTGGATAAGCATCTCATTGAACTAGTTTTAGCTCTTTAACTTCCTGCCTATGGCAGGGGACTGGACTCAATGATCTTACAGGTCCCTTCTGGTCCACTGACTCTGATTCTATGGGCAGCCTCCCATATTTTACATGTAGGATTATTATATCAAAGTGTGGCAGGAAAATTAGGACAGACTGCTCTAGACAGGTAGGCAGGCCAGTACTATGACTGCCTCCGGGGTGGCCCCTGTCACATGCAGGATTAAGCTGAAAGAAATTTAGTGACAAAGGTCATTCAAAAAACAAAGTAACAACATTTTCATTTACATTGTCAGGTGACTATTCAGCAAGAAACTTAATTTCTTATTCATTAAGCGTTATTCCAAAATAAGGAATAATACCCATACGCTACCCATTTAACATCTCTTCAGATGAAACAAATTCCATTCTGTAAGGATGTTTGTGAACAATTTTGAAACCGAGCAGAATGCTATTTCCCTTTGGGCACCTGAATGTCAACTTTCTGGCTGCATATGTGGCAGGTTGCCCACTCGCACACAGGCTACAATTCTATTTCCTTTTACATGTGGATGCATAAGCTTAAAAACCCCCCCACAGGCCCAGCTCTTCCGAAAATCTAGTTGCTCAATTTTGGTGCCCAAAAAGATTGAGACGCCTGGCTCTCTGCATTCATTGTGAAATGGTTTTCAGAAGCACCTAACTTTCCCTATACATAGAAAGCCTAAGCATCTAACTTCATTTCTTTGAAGCATCCTGCTAGGACCAGGTGTTTAATTTTAAGGTGTTGCAAGTTTGTAAGATGAAGGCACCTAGGGAGCTCTCTGGATCTCACCCTTAGGCTCCTCTAAATATTATATGCTAGGAGACTTGCCTAACATTATAGAGCAAGTCTACAGCAGAACGAAAAATAGTCCCCAGATATCACAGCTTTGAGGCTTATGCTGGTGCCATTAACTAATATTTCTCTAACACTCCTATTTCATTTTATAGGAGTGTTTACAAGGCCCATCTACCTGACCTAGGTGACCTTAACCTAAACAGTTCTACCTGTATTTTTAACTTAATATAGCCCACCATAAATTCACCTGCCCCTTAACCACTTCCCCATCCTAACAGGGTGTGTACAGACATTTGGAGAAGGGGAGGAGGAGGCGCTAGGGGGAGGTTAGATAGTATTAAAAATAGCCACATGATCTAACTTAGTGCCCAGTGCGGACTTTGCACATAGATGGGTCTAACTAGGGATCTAAGTGTAAACTGTACAGAAGCTCCAGGAAGGTTAGATCAGCCTATAAATGGCTGACCCAATCCAAGTTAACCTTACCTTGGAGGTCGTTCAACTTAGACTGGGTTGGCCATTTTTTAAACCGATCTAAATTACCTGAACTTCTGTTCAGTTCCCAGCATATCCCCAGGGCTGGGAAAGCTGAACTACTGGCTGTAGTCCCAGAGCTGAGCTTTTCCTACCTGCCCCCCTGGCACCAAGCTATTTTTAGCCCCCCAGCACCTCACCCCTTCCCCTAAGCTGCTCCCGCTGCCAGTTTTATCAGCGTTCGCCAATCCTGGGAGTCAAGGAAGCAAGTCCTGCTGGGAGGGATGGTTTGCTGGGGGGAGGAGAGGTGGGGAAGTCGGAGGACTTAAAATAGCCCCTGGTCCTGCCCCCCCATGGACCCCACAAGCTCCTCTGATCCTGCCAAACCCTCCCAGGCTCCAGCAACCTCCTGAAGTCCCTGCCTGCTCCCTTGACGCCCCTATGAACACTACCTACTTCCACAATCCCTGCCACAGACCCCGCCTGCCCCTCAATACCTCAAAGTCCTCCTGTGGACCCCACTTGCTCTGCTTATCCTTCCTGCAGACCCTGCCTATACCCCAGATGTTTTTTATGAATTTCCATATTCCCCACTGAGCCTGCTTGCCCCCCCCCCCAAATCCTCCAACCTCCCCCACTATCCCCCATCCCAACTTACCTTAGATCAAGTGCCTATTTTTAACTCAACCTAACCTTGCCCTAACCTCCCTGAATGTCTGTATGCAGCCACAGTTACAATTCCCTTTCATTTCAAATGCTTGGAGGAAAATAAAGCCTTCACACAGTCCTGAAAAATTATCAGATTTGGTTTATTTTTAAAATATGCTCACTCATTTTTAAAGGAGATAAATCTGGGCCAGTTTAGGGCGAAGCACCACTCTACTAATTCACACTTGAATTGTGCCATCTTACACAGGTTTTGAATTTTAGTGATTTTGACCCTTTGCCTTTTTAAGGCAAGAAGATACAATATTTACCTGTCTGAATCTTTCAGGGCCTTCACTAGCGTAGAATAAATATGCTGCTCTTTTCTTAGAGCAAGAATAAGCTCTTCATATTCAGATTCCTTTTTCACCTGAGTTAAAAAATTAAAAAAAACAGGTTTTTTGGGTTCACAAATTTCAGATTCTAGGTACACAGCTGTACTTGTAAACATGTGTTCCATGGAGATAATTACATCAGTCTCTGCCTTTAAGAAAAAGTGAAAGAATAATTAGTGATTACAAGTGCAGGAGTTGCAGAGTGAGACTGCCCATCATAAAATACAGAGTTGAGTATGGAAGCCATTCATGCTATTTAAAAGCAGCTATTATTAAAGGAGGTTAATAGTGCTCTGTTATTTACCTGCCATAAAACAGTCACATCTCTAAGCAGTTGTTCATCACTTTTACCACAGTAAAAAAAGTAAGCTCTTTTCCCCAGTGTCCTTACTTCCAAAAGTTTACAAATTAACAGCCCAAGGAATGATCTGGCAGACAGGTATTTGAGGAGTTTTACGCTCCAAGTAAAGACTTCAGAACATTGCTCCAAAAGCACTCTCTGTATTTTGGATAAAATTAACCTTTCTATTTGCAGGGGTTCCAGCAACAAACTGTACTAATACCACAGGAAAGGGATGGTATAAGGCTGACAAATAGCTGATGAATGTGTCAGATATATGCATTCATTGAGTCAAATTTCACAATAATCAGTTTGGTCAAGATGAGTCAGCCAAGGAAAGAAAAGTATTTATCTGCCATCCTTGCTCTCCAAAGGTATATTGTTACAATACATGTGCACGCTGGGTCTATGTCCCCAGTACATGACTGTCAGAAGTTTCTACAATTTTTAATCTCTAAGACAGAGGCTCAGCTAACCCCCTTCTGCAGGTGGCAGAGTTACTCAGATTTAAGTCAACATTTGCCTGCAGTGGCCACATAAAAGTATTTGACTGATTAGCATGCGCAAACCAGAATATAATAGGAGTGGTTATAGGATACCTCTTGGCAAATTCTGATTTATTATTGGCAAGCACTGTATTTTCCATGCCTGTTTAGGGAGAGTAATAAGTCTTACTGCCTCTTATCATCAGTTTCTTTTTCTGACCCAGAGGTGGAAAAAAATATGTATCCCCAGTTCCTAGGGGAAACTCAGTGTGGATCTAGAATGGCAACATACCTCTAGAGGACAAGACTTAACGGTAATTCTATTTTCTCCATATTAGATCCTCAAGATTGGAAACTAAGTTCTCCAGAGATACTGTATCATTAGCGAACAGATCATTAACAGAGAAGAAACCTACACCCATGAGTTAAAAGCAGCTGTTAGTATTCCAACTGCAATCCCAAAGCAGAGTAACGCAACAAAAACTCAGCTACAGTAGAATCTCGTTAATTCACACTAATGATGCGAAGACTCATTGTTAATTTGAAAAATTCAGCAATCTGCAAAGTAAACAATACAAGAAAAAAAGACAACTGCAATTTACTTTTAATTATTTATGCTGATACTTCAAATAAGCTGGTAAAATGTACTATACAATATCTTGTAAAAGCAATGAAGTTTTGATCAAATTAGCCCTCATTAGAGGAATCTGCTTATCCATCCCTGCTGACAAGACAGACAAGGTCACCTCTCTGCTGATGAAAGGTGAGAAGAGCTGGAAAAGAATCACCCCTTTGCATGCGTTTGTTCTATGGCCTACGACAATGGTAGCCTTTTCCAGATGCAGGTCTTTGGGCACTACTAAAATTATTTTATGAGAGAATGACAAAATATTCAGATAAGGTAGCTCTTCTTAAAGAGGCATCCTATAGTTAATAAGGTAAGTAGATAGGTGTAGCAAAGGTGGCATCTCAAACAAAACTGAGGATTCTAAACTAAAAAAAAGGCAAACCTACACTTACAATTAGGGGTGCATCAATAGAGATTTTTTGGGGGGATAGCAACAGCCAATTATTAAGAACCCATATCAGCCGATACCGATATGCACCCAGGCAGATTCGAGAGCAACGCCTGGCTGGTAAGTCTGTTGTGGGGAAAGAGGCGAGGGGAAGGAAAGGGGTGTGGGGGGAACAGATCGAGGTCCCTGTGGTGAAGGAGGGACTGCACAGCTGGGGTGGAGCACAGGAAGGTGCTGCAAGTGGCTCGTCAGGGGAGGGGGGCAGAGGGTGTTGGTGGCTCCTGCTGCTGTATGCACCCTGGGAGCGCACAGTGGGGGGTGCCCCCAGATCTGCATGTGTGGCGAGGGCAGGCTGCTGCTGCTGCTGCTGCTGCTGCAGGCCGCGGCAGCGCTGGGCTCCTCTCGGCTGGGGGCTGGGCCGGGCTGCACTCAGGGTGTGTGGCGGCAGTGCTGGGAGGGAGGTTATGGGAGGGGGCTACAGCCATACCAAAATTCTCCGTAGCCCCCACTCCCAGCCTAGAGTGCAGCGCAGCCCAGCCCAGCCCAGCCCCCTGCTGGGAAGAGCCCACTGCTGCCCTGGCCCCCTTCTCCAGCCCGCAGCAGCAACCTGCCCACCCCCACCATGCCCTCCCCGGGTGCATGCGGGGACAGGAACCACCCTCCCTCCATGCCCCCCAAATGAGTTACTTGCAGCCCGTCTTGTGCCCCAGGCGTCCCAGCTGGGCAGCGTCTACCCCTGCCCCAGCCCCACTCCCTTCCTCATGACTGGGGCCTCAATCTGCCCCTCACCATGCCCCTTCTCTCACAACACACTTACCAGCCAGACCTGGCTGCTCTCCACACTGCTGAGCTGCACTCCGGGCCGCCTGCGTGCTGCACTGTGGCTGCAGACATGCACAGGGTACTTATCAGCAACATTATCAGCCACATCCGCCAAAAAAAGCCAAATGATGATGATGTCAATTTTCCTTATATCGGTGCCAATCCGATATGGGACAGATGTATCGGTGTACCTCTACTTACAATATACATTTAAAAATCTATAACAAAACATCATGTAAATCACATAGGCCAACTTAATTTGGATAACTGTTCTGCATGTGTCTTACTCCTGAATTGACATCACTCAGGGATAACAAACAAATGCAGGGTATGTACAGACATTCACTGCACCTGATCTACAGTCACACCGCTTGGTTTACTTACTGTCCTGGGGTGGGGAGGTTCGGGAGACTGAAAATAGCCCACTCAGTTTTGGGGGAAGAATAGGAAGAACACAGCCCCAGGGCTAGGGGCGGCTAGGGGCACCTGTACTCCAAACTACTGCAGACATACCGAGCTAACACAGTCCTGATCTAACTTAGCTCTCCTCCTCCAGTGAACTAATTTAGATTTAGCTGACCATTTTTTGCCTGATTTAACCTTCCTGAATAGCTGCACAGTTCGGCACACAGATTGACCTAGGCCTAGTTTGGTCAACATAAGTGTGATGTCTGCAGGTACCCATCGTGATCAGACAATATTCAGACCATCATTCTAAAAGAGAAACTTAATTGCTGAAACAGTGCAGGAGGTAACTTGAATGAATATTCAGAAACTTTAACCTGCTCTAGGTGAATGTCTAAAAAGGATAATCTTGATTACGGTGGATGGCCACAAAATCTACAGAATTTTGATAAATGTCTAGATAAATATTTAGGGACTTTTACACATCAGATTCTGTTAACACACGAGGGACGGTTTTGCTGGATAGTGTATGGAGGGAAGAGAATATTCTTTGCTGAATAATCCCTCTCTGCTATTGCAACAATTCAAAAGGGAAAGATTCAGTATCTGTGTTTGGAAGCTTCCTCACTCCATTGGCTGAGGACTTTGCAACCAACAATAAAAACTATTGTGACAACTGAGCTGTACAAATATGTGGGTAGTTCAAAGGAAAGGTTCATTAACTTAGTAGGAATCATCCTTGTTATTGACAGATTTCAAAAGAATAAAGGAATACAAAGCACAAGCCAAAGGGAAACTAAAATCTAGAAGACAGGTGAATTACTAACACAGAGTACTAGTAGAATAAAAAGACTTTTCATAGGTTGTGCAGATTTTTCTTGAAAACATAAAGGAGTACCATAACAGATGAACCAGTCCAAGCCCAAAGAATTCTCAGGTAAGACTCAAATTTCTTAAGGTTAGTCCAGAACCCTTTATTCCCAGAGTGAATATTACATATGATTTACGACTAGGCATTTAAAAAGGGGATGAAGTCTCATTCAAGCAGTCCTAATCCCAAAATAATCCTGTGTATCCATTACCAGGTGCCTACAGGTTTCTTCAGACATTCTTATTGCCAGACAGTGGTAACGGGCTGACTTCTCACAGCTGAAAACCACACAACACCACAGTTTCTCTGACAGAAGTTATATATTCAATCCTTACCTTTTTAGCCACCTCTGAACCTATATGTGCCTAATATGTCTTTGCAATATTAATGCATATGATACAAAACTCTTTCCAAACTGAAAACTATCTCTATGCCACTGCCAAGTTACCGTCCTCCCGGGGGGGAAGACAGTATACAAGCAAAACATGAGACTCCCTGAATGATCTGTGACCATTATAACCCTTAGTTCAACAGAGAGCTGTCACATGGAAACACGCTTTGGGTTCTATGAACACACTCATATTCATCTGGTATCAATATGTTGTGTCAAAATCTGTGTATAACATTGTTGATTTCAGAAATTCCTGCCAAATCTTGCTTTCCTGAATTACTGGAGGGCAAGGACTATTCTGAGCTACTTTTTCTTATACCGAAATATCTTGTGAGCAAAAGTTAGGACAATGGGCAGTTTCATTTGACCCCTAAATTCAACTAGCTAGCTAGAAGTTACTTGAAACTACGCAAAATTGTAAAAAAATGCTTTACTCTCACAGTATTTCTGAAAATCAACAAGGATGAAGAAACAAACAAGAACCATCATCTCTTTTTTGTGTATTATTACTGTCACTCCTATATAAGGTGTAGGAGTGAATTATTCTGATCAACTTCCCACAGGTTTACAAAGAAAAAGGCAGGGATGTAGCCTACATACACTGTAATGCTGTGGGAGTTAATGAAACATTAAACCTCTTGACATACAGTGTTAGGGAAAATGTGTTAGAGGAAATAACTGCTAGACATATAGGGTAGTCTTATAGTGAAAGTTTTATATTCCAATATAAGGAGGCAACCTAATCCATTACAGTCTGAATCTAAAGTCTGAAATTCTGTTGCTAAATAGACGAGCTAGAGGACTTGGAATGTTATTTCCACTTCAAGCTTTCTTAAATGGCAAGTGATGGAAGGAAAGGGGGTATAGTTCTATACTAGGTAAATCAGCAGCATAATTGCATCTGATTTGCTCATGCACGCAAGGCGTTTTCAACAACGTCTGGGTCATTTTGAAAATCTCTGTAGGTTTTAGGCTGAATCAGTGACTGGAGGCTAGAACCTAGACTTTCCTTTAGCCCCAAAATGACATGGCATCACCGGTGTTTGGTAGCTTCTTCCAAAACTTGCACTGAAATAAGAGTTCTGCCATAAACAGTCAGAAGCCCCTACAAGTGAGACTGCTAAATGTCACTGAGCCATGCATCTAAAAAAGAAAGGCACCATTGTAATAGTCCCTATTGGAGACTTTTCTTGGGATATCTCTCTTCCACGGTTGGAGATGTTATAAAAATGATGGCTTTAAGCATAGTCCCCCGTTGCTGCTCTGCAAAGGAGGAGTAGATTACAAATACATATCAGAGGTGCTACTTCATTGGACAAACTTCTTTGAGCAGAGATTTCTGGAAGCACGTGACTGGTATACTGCAGGGTGTCAAACTCTTGAAGGCTGTCGGGCTCACAGACCTGTCACCTACAGGATCCACCATGTCTTGTACTGGCCCTTCATGTCACTTGTCACGTGCACACCAGACAAGTCTTGCATGCTGCACATGGGGCCGATTCAAGACACACATGCATCACCGTGGGCCTCATTTAGCCTGCAGGCCAGATCTTTGACACCTGGTATAATGCATCGGTTCTGCTCATTTCAATCACAGGCAGGGTAATGATGAGCAAACATCTTATTCTAGGTGTGTGGATGGCAAGGACATCAACCTCAAAAAGATGGCAGTTTTCAGAAATGATGTCAGCTCATCTAAACCAGGGACCAAGTTATTCCTCTGGATGCATGTTCCCGCATCAGTTTCAACAAGACTGCAAGATACTGATTGCAATTTAGTAGCTAGCATGCAGGTAAAAAAAGTCAACTGCATCACTTGCCACAGCCTCAGCAGCTGTGTGTATTCTGCATCAGTTTCAACAGCTGAAAAATGTCTGCAGTACTGCAACATATGCATGAGTCTCCATTCCCAGGAAAGGTATCAAATGCAATGCTCTGGCTACATCAATAACTTTGGTGCATTGACTATAATTCTGACTGCAACAAATTAAACTTCACAATTGTATGCACACAGTATGCTTCAATTCCCTGATCATATGGTATTAACTCCCTAAATATTGGAGTAATTATAATAAAAGGCAAACAATGTACTGATGATACAGGAATTGCAATGTGTTTTGTGTCTGCAGAGACACCGGATTTACCTTGGAGTGTATCAACTAACTGGATTTCTGATTTCAGCATCAAACACTGTATAAGGTTGCTCACCTCCTTGGAAAGGTACATTATTACAGAAAGGTTACACTGTAATAACTAGGACTTCATACAAAATCAATTTAGAGCCATAACGAATGCCACTAAGTTCCTATAGCATGTGCATTGTGTCAGTTAGCCTAAAGGACACAATCGGGCCCAGAATACAACTTAAAGACTGAGTAAGAGTGGGCTGTCTAAACTTTGTTGCTTTTCTTGGTACTAAAGTAAACTGCAAAAGGTCTGAACAACTCAGCTAAAATACATTTGTGTGATAAACACTCCCACTAAAAAGCTTGTTTGGAGAGAGTAATGGAAAAGGGTGTTATTAAGCACAGAAATAACAAGTTTTCTAAATTACAAGGCAGTCCGCTGCACTTCTGCATTTACTGGTTGTAAAGCTCACGATGCCTCCTTCTGAGACTACGCAGATATCAGAAGAATCTAGCAGTCGCATGACTAACCCTAATTACCAGTGCTCATGTTTGCTCTCTCTAGCCCACTGCTGTAGCTTGAAAATCCAAACTTCAACTGGAAAATGTTTTCTATTTCCTCCCCCTTGGCCAGTGCACCTGTAGCAATGCTTCAGATGTTGGTTGCTTTTAAAATTTATCTTCATATGAAAAAAGGTAAAAAGGTAATTGAGACAGAAGATTCAGCACCTCCTGGTTCAGTTTCTTAAACCTGAATGCAGCAGGTAAGCTAGAAGAAAAGGTTTGGCTTCTTTGCTTTTGGGTGACGAGGTTCCACCTGCGCATTTACTGAGGTGGTACAGCACTGGAATGTCACCAAAGAGGCCAAGCCAGCCAATCAGAATGCAGCTTTAGGTAATCAGTGTCCAAAGACTTATTATTAATATGCCACTATGGGATCCTACAGGGTATGAGGATGGTGGTTGTGCAGAGAGGACAATGAGTTGTGATTAAGTATTGTTCTCAGTCACTGAGTGAGCCAGCACAAGAGAATGGATTGTGATTATAAATTAGGGGTGGGTTATTGCTATGCATGGCTCCACTTGCCACTGTTCTCATTTCAGGCTGTACACTTAGAATGGGAGGAAGGTGAAGAGAGGGCGGTTAGTTTTTCATCTTCATTAATTCTATGTGATTTGCCACTCCTGTAGCATCTCACATTTTCATAATGCTGGAGCTATGTGAATACACTGTAGTTGATTTCATTTGATGACTTTCTTTTGGAGCCAGCTGAAGAGGCAAACCCTCTTTAACTAATCTTTTACAGGTTTTACTTTCTCTGCATGTAAGTTGGGAACATCCTATATCAGTTACATAACCAACAGTGATGTTTCTTTGGCTCTGTGGGTACTAATCATCCAGTCTGTATCAATCCATGCTTATATGCTCCTGTTTCATTTCCTGCTGGGTTTGCCCAGTGCAAACAGCATTGTCATGTGCAAAGCAAATGAATTCAATAAGGCAAATGAATTCCCTCTGCATGTGCTATTAATGCATGGGGCTTGCTGGCAGCTGCCCCACAAGCAGGACAACTGCCAGTGACCCCCCAGATGAGTGGGGAAGCAGAGAGCTCACCAGTCCTGGTGCTACTCAGGGAGCCAGGAGTTGAGCAATGCCAGGACCAGGGACAGAGAATTCCCCCCTTCCTCTGTGGCCCTCTGCTGGTGTGGCTGACCAGGAGCAAATTTGCTCCCAGTCAGCATCTACACAAGTGCTACTGCGAAGCAACTACTATGCAGCTAATCTAGTAGCTGCATTTACACGTACTAATTTACTGCACAGTAAATGCCACATGTGTAGACAGTGACACTTTAGTCTACTGCACAGAAGAGAGTCTCATATAGATGCACCCACAGTAAGTTACATATCTCAAAAACAAGTACAAACGTGCAGCTTGTGTTGCTTGGTTAGCTGGCTTCTGGTTTACTGCTGGCACCAAAGTACTGTAAATTGTAACTTATGATAACTTTAGTGTTTTGAACTTGGGTTTCTCGTGAGGTTTAATTCTTTTTTTATGTATACTGTCATATTAAAATGACACCCATGTTATCCACCAATACTCATGCTTCAATACTAATTTCTCCTTTTCTTTTGCCTTTAGTACGCATTTCTCTTCAGTGCAACTCTTTTTTTATTTCTACCTCCATCTCTTCTGAAACCAGCTACACAAAAATTTCTCAGTGCTTTTGTCCCATCCTCTGACTCTACTATGTATTTTCTCTCCTTCCCTTTTACAAGTATGCCTGGCTCCCTTCTATAACTCCTTCAGAAATACCCATGCTTCTTTCTTCAGTGAAAATTTTTAGCCACAGTAACTATGCAACTGTTTGTCTGAACTGTGTTATACAGTGTTTTTCCTACTTGTGACTTCTGACTATAAACAGTATGAAACAGAACCTTGTAATTTCACATAATTCATTACTGTACAATAAAATGTATGTTCATGGCACTACCCATGCCATAACAACATACAGTCTTAGGAAAAAGCAACCAGAGATAGTATGAGATGATTAATAAAGCAATGTTCCCTTTCCTCTTCCTATTTACAAGTGGCAACTGTTATCCAAATTATAGCAATCCTGATTTGAGTTAGCTACTGAGTTAATGACAGATTCCATTTCCCCAGGCCAGTGAATATAAATGTATAGGTCACAAATTCTGCAAGGAGTGGTCACTAAAGGCAATTCAGGGGTGCTCATGAGGCCTTAAAATACAATTGTAATGAAAAGCAAAGGAAGTGTTACTTTGTTTACTTCTCCTAAGGTCAACTGGTGTTTTTCAGCCCATCAGAACATGCAAAAACAATTTATATAGGCCTATTGCTATCAGTGATATATTTTCCACAACTACATAGACTATAGATACAACCATGATTTTTTTTTTCATTTCAAATGAGGAACTACCAATCTGAAACAGTTGAGAAGCTGCCTTATGTTATCTGGCAAACTATAATAAAACATTTGGATCCCCATCTCTTTGAAATCAAAAGGAAAAATTTTCACCAATTCCAAAAGAAAGATCAGGCCCAGTGTTTGTATCTCATCTATAACAGCCAAGGTTAAATCAAACTCACCTCCACTTCTTTGACTATCTTGGCGATTGACTGTTCAGACTCAGCGGCACATTTTTCCTTTATCAATCCTTCATTCTTCAACTCAAGTTCTTCTTTCACTTTTAGAAGGTTTTTATAGTTATTTAAAAGATCCTGAAATTCCACCTCCTTTTCTTTAATTGTACCATCAAGTTTCTAACAAAGCAAAATAAAGAATACAGAAAAAAAATTCTGAAAACTTATTCTAATTGTACTATT